TCTTACATATGCCCCCTTCTCTTCTTTGACACTGCCACCATCCTGGTGCAGGTCCTCATCACCTCATGCACAGACTACTGCAATAGTCTGCTGGGTGATCTCACTGCCACAAATCTCTCCCCACTTTAGTCCATTCTCCATTCAACTGTCAAGGTGATCTTCCTAAAGAGCAGGTCTGACCAGATCACCACCCCTTCCCATTCAATAAACCCCGGTGGCTCCTTATTACCTCCAGAATTAAATGTAAAATCCCCTGTTTGGCGTTCAAAGCCCTTCATAACCTGGCCCTCCCCTCTCTAGTCTTCTTGCACTTTACATCCCACCGCATACTCTGCAATCCACTCATACTTCTGTTCCTCAAACAAGACACGCCATCTCCCCATTCTAGGCATTCCTGGGGCTGTTCCCCATGGAACCTGGAATGTTCTCCCTCTTCATCTTTGCCTCTTGGCTTCTCTGACTTCCCTTATGTCTCAGGTGAAATCCCACCTACAGGAAGCCTTTTCCAACCCCCCCTTAATTCTAGTGCCTTTTCTCTGTTGATTATTTTCAATTTATCCTGTATATAGCTTGTCTGTACATAGCTGTCTGAGGGTCATACCCCTCATTAGACTGTGAGCTCCTTGAGAGCAGGGACTGTCTTTTACCTTTCTTTGTATCCCCGGAGCTTAGCACAATGCCTGGAACACAGTAGGTGCTTAATACATTTTTACTGACAATGTGTGTTTATGTGTATATAAATGATAGACCATAAAGCATATAGAAAACTGACTTCAAAATCAGGAAGACATGAGTTCAGATCTTACCTTTGACACAAACTATTTGTGTGACTTTGGACAAATCATTTAACCTCTTAGTGCTCTCAGCAACTCTCTAAGACTAAGTTGCAGAGACACTGAGGACTGAAAGACTTGATGTAGACTTTCTCATCTGGAAGTTCCCTATGGTGACAAAATCACAAGTCTGTCCATATATCCAGTGTATCCCAAAGCCTTAGGGCAGTTTTAAACTATTAAGCTTTAAAGCTTGCGCTAAGACTTCTGGGATGTCCTTTATGCATTTACATATGCCTCACCATGGTATAGCAGTAATCCTTGGTTCTTAAAGGCTATAATAAGGAAGCACAAGCACTGGCATGCTCTACTAAGATGGAAAGGCCTTGAATATGTGCCCCATGACATTCTGCCTGCTGTTTTTATTTTTATCTTAGCTAAATATGGAGAAGCTCATCATTACTAGGTTGGCTGCTAGGTGTGGAATTCTCAGGCCATGGCAACCCAAGAAACAAAGAAAAATACAAAATGGCTTTCAGTCTTGTGTGTGCCCTATGCCACCCCCCCCCATCCTTAGCTGCTTCTACTGTGATACTAGCAAAATGGTAGAAGAGTAAGAAGAAGGTGCTGAGAATCACACAAGTTTTAGACTGTTAACATTAATTTAGCTATTGATACTCTAAATGTGAAATCCTTGTTCAATGGCCAAAGAACAGATTTTTTTTTTTACTGGAGGAATGAACCATATCAATGATGGCATTCTTTCTCTAAATGAAAAGAGAGATAGAAGAAAGCCATAGCTAACTAGAAGGGAGAGAATAGGATCTCTTTGAAAAGACAAATTAAAGAGTTTGCAAATTTGGTTTCATTGTGAGCCTAGAGACAATAAGATACTTGGTGATCTCACTTTGATTGCACATCTCATGATGAACATAAGCAAAGAGATTAACACAAAAATGATTACTGATTATGCATCAACATCTATTGCTGAGCAAGAAGTTAAAAAAAGTTCTTTGAATAATTCAATAAGACCCTCCAAACCAAGTCAATATATACGTGGATACTCTGTGACATCAAGGCAAAAGTAGACATAAGAGACAATGGCAAAAAACGTTAGAAAGTATGATTCAGGAGTAAGAAACAAAGATGCCAAAGGCTTGACCACTCAGAAGAGTAGTAGCTCAAAGGGCTATAAAACTGTGCATACTTACTCATAAGTGTCTGAGGCCAGATTTGAACTTAAGAAGATGAGACTTTTTGACTCTATTCACTGTGCCTTTTAGCTACCTTACAAGGCTGAATAACATCACAAAAATGAAACAATCGAATGACTGACACTTTATATACTGACATCATATTTTACAAAACATTTTACATTATCACATTTAAGCCTCATAAAAATCCTGTAAGATAGTTATAGAGATATTATTATCCTCACATTACAGGTAAGAAAATTAAGGTTTAAAGAGCTGATGCTTCTTGCTCATAGCCACACAGTCAGGGTTAAGAGGTGTGGTATACCTTGACAGAAAATGACTGACTAATGATGTTGGGAGCCATTTCTGGATTACAGCTGTATGTGCAGTCATATAATCAACTAGTTGGATGAAAGTTAAAAACACCAAACTAAAAAAGGATCACTATGAGAAGATGACATGACAGTCAAATACGACTCCAACCTAACCTATTCAGACAAACTAATGATGCTAAAAATTGGGAAATGGATAATTGAAAACTCATTGATTACCACCATTTCCTAAAGAAGTTTAGTTGATATAATAAAAGAAAGAAGCTAAAAGAGCCTAGAAACAACCTCAGCCACCAAACATAATCTCTTTGCCAAGTGAAGAGACATAGAAGCCAGAAGTAAAATCATTTGCAAATTAATACCAAGAAGGAATGGAGGGAGCTTAAAAGCAGTTTTTTGTTTTGTTTTCCGCAGTATTTCTTTTATAACAGAAGTAGTAGAAAGGGTATCGAATCTGTAGAAGGTAGAAAATGAGTCTTTCAGAAGACTTGATTTAAGAGCTGAGCCAGATCATTAAACAGCATTCATACATGAAATTGGGAAAACAACAAATTAATGAAAAATGAAATAATATTTACCAGTGTTAAAAAGCTAGAACCACCACATTTGGACTAACTTCTCAACTTCTGTTGGTCCACATTGCTCAGCAACTCATATGTAGCTTACAAAGTCTCTAACAGTCCCTAACAACTTAGGGAGCTGCCTAGTGCAGTGAGGCATTAAGTGATTTGCCCATGGTCACAAAGGTAGTATGAATCATAAGTGGGTCTTGGGTACTTCTAATTTTAATACTTCCTCTCTAACTACTATACTACACTGCTTCTTTATATCAGGGAAGTTTTTCTAAAATTCAGAGCTGTCCAACAGTGGAATGGGCTGCCTTAGGAGAGGCAGAAGCTGGATGACCACATTAAAGCAGAGATTTCTTTCAAGTTTGGGCTGGACTAGAAAACTGCTGAAGTCCCTTCCTATTCTAGGATTCTACAGATAAACAATCCATAGGATTGGTGCAGATAGGCTAGTCATATGGCAAAAGCAAAGAATAAGAAAAAGGAAGCCTGGATGTAGCACTGGTACCTCTTGAATGCTAAAAGATCTAGTGGAAGGTCTCCCAACAACCCATCCTCTATGGAAGATACAAGGGAAGACAGAGGCCAGAATCACACAGAATGAGAAGGTATGAATGAATTACAATCTATATTACTGGAGAGAATACCTATAGCAAGAAGATCATGAACCTCTTGAAATATTAAATTGAGAATAATAGCCAATACACTGGATGACAGGATCAGGATCCAGAAAGATGCTGAAAGAATGTAACAATGAGCTAATTTAATAGGATGAAGCTTAATAGGTATAACTGCAAAGTTCTACACTTTAATTGAAAAAAAAACAACTTTATAGGCCTAGGATGAGGAAAGCATGGCTAGACAACAGTTTGTATGAAAAAGATCTGGATATTTTAGTAAACATCAAGTTCAATACAAATCAATAATAATAAGTCATATTTATTGAGTGCTTTCAATTTAACCAAGCACTTTTCTGACAACTATTACAGTTTGATAGGAGGAAAACTTCCTATCGGAGCTAGTTGAGAATTGAATACGTTACCTTGAAGAGTAGTGATAGTGAGTCCCCTATCAATAGACACATTGAAGCAAAGTCTGGATTACCACTTCTGGGCCATGTTGTAGAAGAGGTAAGTGTTTAGGTACTGTTTGGACTAGGTAACCTCTGAGATCACACTAAACCCTAACATTCTAATGGTCTCAGATGGCAAGTGCTGCTCCACAACCCTGGACACTATAGCCTATATGATCAAAACCTGGGTCTCTCCCTCAGCTCTACCTCTAATGTAATCCAAGCAAAATAATGAAAGCAAGTCACATCTGACTTCAGTTGTTAAGAAAAGATAAGTATTCAGGGGAAGATCTCTCTAACATCAATATCTACAATCCAAAATCATCATCCAGTGATCTTTCTACCCATTGTCATTCTTCCCTCCCTCACTGCCACAGCAAAAGAACATCTTGTGACCTGTCCACAAGGAAACAAATGGCCGCGATAATCAAGATGACCTACATACTATCCCCAAGGACTGAGGGTGGAATAAGGAGTAGGGGTAGGCAGAACACCTCCTTCTCTTCCCCAGTGTCCTTCAAGTTCACTGGAGAACCAGCACTGCCTGAGAATGAGCTGAGAAAGCTGAACATGGAACAGTCGGTGGCGGGCTTTGATGTACTATTCCCGTCTGTTCTATATATCCATCTCTCCTCCCTAGGCATATGCTCCTGGAAGGAGATAAATAGTCCAACTAGGGATATAAGGGAATTGGGTTTCTATTCTTTCTTCCTCAGGGGGCTCTTCTCCCTCTATGACCTCTGATTTGGTGTCCTTCCTCCTCATTATCTCTCAGTCACCTCCAGTGAGGAGGAATGATGAGGCAAGGTGGGCCAAGAATGCAGAGGTGAAGAGGGAGAAGACATTTCCCCACATTACAACTTCCTAGCCTCAATTATAGTGGATGGGGATACCTCACCCAAGAAGAGGTCTACTTTCCTTTTCCTAGTTCTACTATCTTCTCCATCTACCTGCCTCTCATCCCACAACCCTCCTGCTCCCTTCCCCATTCATCTATTTTCCCATCCCTTCATCCCCTACCCCTTATGCCCCTATTCCCTCCCCCCAAGAGCACTCACACCATGGGGGCTTCTCAGAGCGCTGCCGGAGCTGCAAAGGGGGTGAGTGAAGGGTCTGGGGTGGAGCAAATGGGCCCCCAGGAGCCTGGTTGCTGTGCATGGAATCAAACAGAGCTGGAGAGGGAAGAAAGAATACACATGAGTGGGAGTTTGAGTGTGTGGGGTCCAAGGCCTTTCCTCACAAGTCTCAACTAGCGTACCCCTTCTCAGCCCTCTCATGTTGGAAAACTGGCAAGGAACCATTTCCAGAGATGCTAGGGGTCAGCAGAGGCCTATCTATGTGTGATCAGATGTTCCTTCCTAGCCTTGCCCAGCCCTATCCTGCCATGGTCCTCCGGCTCAGACCATACCTTGGAGGAAAAGAGGAAGGGCTCAGAGGGAATCTTCATACCTGCAGATACCTGGGCAGCTGTGTGCCGTTGGCAGACTGAACTCAGAAATTCATTCACCTGGCGAAGGGAGAGAGCGTTGTGCAGAGTCTCCAGTGGGTAGATGGTGGGCACCATGGAACAACCTTCAAATCCTGCCAAGGTTAAAATTTGAAGGGAACAAAGTAAGCAAAGAAAAAAAAAAGGCAGAAGACACCTGACCAGAACTCAAGGAAACTGGGAAAGTGAGTCCTAAGTCACCAGGATAGTGAGCTCTCTCTCAAAAGCTAGTACCACTGAGCCCCTAGAAAAGTGAGATTTCCAGAATTACTAGGAAAGGAAATTCTGTAGATCCCCTGTTTAAGCTTACCTTTCTTTCCTTCAGTCCCCCTGGACAGCCTAGCCTCCCAAAAACACTTGCCTCTAAAGACCCACAATTGCCATATTCAGGAAACCCTAATCTATAAATGCCTAATTTAGGAGAAGATTATAATTCTACTGGCGTCAACCCCTAAAATCTTCTGGGAGAAAAAGATGTGAGTGTAGAGCAAGATGCTATAGTATCTGACATGAGGTGAGGTCACAGGATTGGAAGGAAGTAGAGGACTCTAGAATGAAAAGGCAATGGGACTATGTGGAAGGTAATGTTCAGGGTCTTTAACAGCGCATGGAGTTGGAGGGGGGAGGATGGGTGGAACATGCAGATTCGGCAAGTGGGTAGGGGAGGTGGAGTCTTTAGAAGTTGAAAGAGCATGCAGTACACACAGAGTTCAGCCCAGCAAAACCACATGCATGAGCAGGCTGGAGGGTGAGAGTTCTTCCTTGGTTAATTTCCATCACATCAAAAATCTCTCCTTTGGGAGGGCTCAGCCCCTACAGATAGCAATTTACCAATCAGAAAAATGGGTCAGGTTCTCTCCAAGGAAAACCACTTTCCTACCCCCTTCCCAATAATTTCAACGTTGGTCTCTGCACTCACTGCTCAGGGTAGTGACAAGAACAAAGCTAGATACATTTGTGATTTTAACTGCAAGGACTGGTGTGGGGCAAAATTCCCCTCATGGAAGACCAAGTATGCCCCTGAAAAATTATTTAATACAGTCCTTCTCATATGTTCTCTATATATCCCTAAGGGTATTGGAGGAAGAGTAGGACGAGAAGGCCCTTGAGACTCCAATCTCCCATACCATAAACTGGACCAACTTTGTAGCTCAAAGGACTCTGTCCTCTCTTTGCAACTCTAGCATATCTTCTCCCTACTTCTGGCCCTGCCCTTATCCCAGGCCTTGCTAAGGAAACCAAGGAAGGCACTTTCCAACGACTCTGAGCCTCCCTATTTTTTTCCCCACTGTGCAGCAGTAGTGATGGTGGTGTCTCTTTGACCTTGGGTAATGTGCTTTGGCTCCTCAGATAAAGGGAACAAGCACCCAAAAGGGAATTTTCTTTTTTCAGTGAGGAGTCAGAGAGGAAAGTTTCTTTCCTTTCTAAAGTGGAGGATGGTAGTAGGGGTGAGAAGGAATCACGGTAACAGAGGGAAAGAAATTCCTCTATGTTGAATAGATTTGAGTGCCTGGGGAACAATGCTCCGAAGATCAGCTCTAGGAGTAAGGCAGTAAGGAGAAGACAGAAAAGGAGGCAGTAAGAGGCAGCAGGGTTAGGGGGTTGGGAGAAAAAAGAGCAGCCAACGCTACAGTTACCAGACAGCCTGGCTCCAGCACCATCTAAGCTGCTCAACGCACCATCACGTAGCCTCAGGAAAGGTATAGGTAAATAGGTGGGCTCTTCTGCTAGTTTAGCAACAAGCAAAGCAGCCAGCTAGGTAGAGAGGGTACCGTAGAGGCACTCAGGATCATCCTGGCCTGAACGCAGCCAGTTCCGGAAGAGGCGAAGGTGGTAGGAGCACTGGTGCAGGTGATGCGCCAGCGTGGCATCCAGGGAGATGGGCCAGCCCCCTGGGCAATCGGAGGAGAAACTGCGCAACAGCTGGACCACAGGGTGCTGGTCGTCCAGCAGCTCTGCAGGACAGGGCCATAAAGGAAAGCAGAGAGAGACAGAGAAACAAGAGGGAGAGTGAGGGGGACACTGGCTAACAGAAGCATAAGAAGGAGATGGGGTCGTGACCCCTATGTATGTGGGCCACCCAGCTCCAAACATGAGCTAAAAGAGGAGAGAGGGACGATGCCACAAGATACCTTCAGCAAGAAAAAAAAAGGGGTGGACAGGAACGCAAAATGAAGTCTGAGGGCAAAGCAAAGACTTGAGGCCCCTGCCATGCCAGCCTCCACTTGGCCAGCTCTGTGCATTTTTTTTTAAAAGATGCCTGCAGACTTTGTTCTCAGCAGGGATGAGCTGGCAGCAGCATCCTGGCTTAAGTACCCCTGGCCTTGATCTCTGCTGGGCAGCATTAGCAAATGGCTGCTCCCAAGATCAAGGGGTTCTTGAAGATAAGATGGAGGTGATGAGGACCAAGGGCACAAAGAGGGACAAGAATGGGACAGAGATGAGCATCATCAAGGTTGAAACCGAAGATTGAATTGTTTCCAAGGGCTCATGTCTGGACCCTCTGAGCCACACTCTGGGAGAACCACAGCCAGGTCCAGAAGACTGGGCAAAAAGTCAGGTACAGGAATACTAACAAAGCATGTGGAACCCAGCCAATCATGTTTCAATAAAGTCACTGTATACAAATACCAGTGTCAACTGGCATTGCTGGTTATACGACATGACAACCCCAAACCACCCTATCCCCCAACCTGGTACCTGTAAGATTTGAAAAGCAGTTTGCAGAAGTCCCAGGAGCCACTGCAGAAAAAGGGAGTCGGCCAGCCCTGAATTCATTACATGAGCCAGACTTTGGACTGTTTTTCATTTCCTTCCTATGGCTATTAAGTCTGACTGCATTTTATTCAGCTACTGGGTGGGAGAGTTTCAATTTAATTCCCTTTATGTGCTGGCTGAATATTGATTCTTTTTGATGAATTGCTCGTTGTTGATTGCTGATCTCTATAATGAAACTGCAAAGGACTGCAGACATGGAAAGGCCCAGAAGGAAGGTGCAGGACAGAGGAAGGGACAGATTCTTAGAGAGGATCACAGGTTTAGAGGGCCTGACCCAAGGGGTGGGCAAAGATGGCTGGGTGGAGGCTGAGCACAGGGCCAGACAGAGAAGCAAACGTGTGAGCTAAGCAATCGTGGTCAGGTTAGAGACGTTACATAGATGGGCTATAGGCACTACTAGAGCTCATACTTAGGCTTCTCAGACAGTCTTGCTCCAGAGACCAATCTGAAGAGCACTAACTGTGGCCTTCACCAGATATCCCAGGAATTGTTCAGCACACACTGACAACAGCTTAAAGCCATTTCACACAGTCCTGGTCTCTTCTTTCATGATATCTTAGCTTCCTCAAATAGGTTCAGATTGTGGTCTGATAACTGATCACACATATGGTCAAGTTTACTCCAATCCTGTGATGTGTTCATGTGATGTGACTGTCCCCACAAGGGACAGAGAACTCAGGACTAAGATCTTCAGGGGTAGAGCTGGGCCATGTACTGGCCTCACATTTTGGGAAGGAAAGAAAGTAGCTCTGCCTTTCCTCCAAATCTAACTTTTCCAGGCATTGCTTTGAAGTCAAGAATTCTGATGAGACGACAGATGGTGTTAGGCATACCCATACATGTCGAATGTGCTGCCGTGAGCAACAGAGACACATGTCACCTCTGTGGTCATGCTATCAGCCATGCAAAGTCTTGCCCTTACCAGAACCTCAGGGACATCCTGGAGGCCAAGAGTAGAAACCAGACTGTCTATTCCAACATGGCAACTCCTGGCTTCCCTTATTGCTACCTAGCAGATGTTAAATCTGAGAGCTTCTTGGCCAATATAACTTCCAGGCTCAAAGGCAAGAAGACTGGCAGGGGCCATAAGAGCTCTGAGGATACAGGCAGGGTTGGCAAATAAGCAAAAGAGAATGTGGCAGCAGTTCTTTCCTGCTTGGTCCTTGAACTCTCTCCAACCCTGCCTTCTTCTCTGTGGGAGGGCTGCCACCTCAGACTTCAAGAAAGGAAACATCAGATACTAGACTTCATTTTCTGGATTGGGAGGGCTGTTTTGCCTATGGTTTCTAAGCTCATACTCTGAAGCTGGGGCTCCTGCGGAGCTCCGGGAATACTGAGGATACTCTAGGAATGTGGGTTCTAGGCTTTGCTCTAGAGATGACCATGATTCAGAAGACCTAGGAAAGCTCAGAATCAGCTCCTCTTCAGCTGCATATGGTGGCCTGGCCTCCACACTTTGAATGGGAGCACTTCTGCCACCAATTCTCAGGGAGGCTGGAGCATATTCAGACTGGGAAAGTGGGGGTTCTCGAGTCCAGAAAGAGAAGGCAACATGGCCTAGTGTAGGTAGTAAGACTGGAGAGAGAACAGACAGGGAGATCCCAGCACAAAGGCCTGATTATGCCCAGGGTCACAGTGGCAGATGGGGTGGGATTAGATTGGAAGCAGGGGTCCAGAATCAAGAGATCCCTCCAGGTAGCTGGGCTTGACCCTGATTCCTCTGGAGGATCTTAGCCCTTGGGAAGAAAAAGGTCGTGGCCAGAAAACTTCATTTACTCTAAACACAGATCCCCAAGATAAAAACAAGTATACAAAGGATTAAACTTCAGTACTGAGATGCCACTCCCTTCCCAACCGCCTCCCATCCAGGGTCCCACAAAGAACTCACAGTTCAACAGTCCTTAGATTGGTGCCCCAAAGCCCTCCATGTCAGGTACCTGCAGTCCTAGCTCTTCAACTCCCTTGGATACTCTGACTTAATCCCTCCACTTCCAGGTTCTTTGGGGCAAGTTATGCCCTGGGTAAGCTTGGGTTGTATAGAATGGATGCCGATAAACTGAGGGTATAATACTGCTCTTTTTACTCCTCTCAGTCTGATGCTGGAACTGACTCCCTTCCTTCCCCCTGCCTCTACCACTATGGATTTCTGCCTTCCAGGCCCAGATGCCAGGTTAGTAGCAACATGAAGCAGATGGCAAGAGCACAAGAACCACACAGCATACATACAATGGTAAGAGTAAGAAGATGGAAAGAAACTCTGTACCCCATGGACTGAAGGTGAAAAGAATGGGAATGAGTGGAGGATAGGGCACCGTGTCCAAATAGGAAGGAATTAGTCTTTTCTCCTATACACAAAAGGTAGAGAGGGACATTAAAAGATCCAACTTGCACGAGCTACAGGGGAGAAGGAAAAGGGTGTGAGGGTTTAGACATTATACAGTACTCTCCCTGAGGATGGGAATAATTTCTCATATCCATACAAGGCCCCAAACTGGGAATGTTGTGAGAGGGACTTAAACAGAGTTTTAATGATGATGATGATGACAAAGATGACAATGGGGGTGATGGTGATGGAAGGTAAGACTGAGACTAGTCAAGAAGATAGGAACAGTGTAGGGTGTACACAGCCGAAGTGGTCATGATCAGAACAAGAGACTGTTCAGGCAGGGGACCCAGTGAGGGACACAGCAAGGTGTCAACACACAGAGAAAAAGGAAAGAAGTCAGTGCCAGGGGTCAGATGTAAGTATCTGGGTCAGTGAAGGTGACATGATGAGGTATGACATCAAGTCAGAAGCAAACGTACCGTTAGTCGGATGCTTTGCAAATGACACAGAAAATCGCTTTACAGCCGGGACAGACAAGAACTCTGAGGAGAGAAGACATCATGGGGATTATACCTGCATCTGTCCCTTCCCCCTACACTAGGCTCTACCTGCCACATACCCTTTTTGTCCTCTACACCCAAATCTGACCGTTTTTCAACTTCCATACAAACACTTCTCTGACAGTTACATAAATCCTTCCCCTTATAAAATGTCTCCATGAGAAATCATATCCCATCCCTACCCTAAGCCTACTCCATATATTCTCATCTTCACCACATCCTGGGTCTGCTTCTATCTGGAAATCAAGTCCCAGTAGGACTCTTGGTCCCTATCCCAGATGCTACCTCAGCTGGAGCTCTTGGGGTTCCAGCCATAAATGTGTCACACCCCTCTCTACTACTTGTTATCCACCCATAATGTCTAGAGTGCAGGAAAGAAAGGGTACAAGGTAGAAGTAAAATGATTGCAGTGCACTTGGATAGCTATGTGGAGTGAAATGTACCTAACATTAGCGGGGGACTATTTCTTTCACCCACATAGTAGGGCTACTTCTGCTGCAATGTCATCTGGAAGACTAAATGGTTCCTTAGCCACAGGCTTATAAGGGAGATGAAGGGGAGATGGGGTGGGCTAAGGATAGGGACTGCTGCCCCCAACCCACATACCATCTCGGTGCATCAGGCTGGCAGGAGGGAGTTTTTTGCCATGGCTGCGAGCGTAGTCCTGGAGATTCGGGGCACTAGATGAACCACCCAGCACTGTGGTGCTGAACAGCCCTGTGCACTGTGAGCCTGCAAAGCCGGAAGCATGTTAGCAGACAAACAAAGCTGCAACCGCTATACACTTAACAATAACAACAACAACAACAACATACACACACACACACAGAGCAAAGCCATTTATAGCTGCCACACCACCACATATAGCCTTCATTGCCACACACTATTATATTTGGCAAGTTAACAGAAAGGGCCTTGTGCGCAGGCCCGTGGCAAGGGGGGAAAGTGCTACTCCATGTAGTTTAGTCATTTTACGGGAGTCAAAGCTGCTTGGAGGGACAAGTTATACTTTGTCCTCCTTCAGATGATTCCCTAAAATGCCAGGGGAGAGAGCTGGGAAAGAGCTTCTCCTGGATTCTCCATACCTATTTGATGCTCCCCCATCCTGGCAACAGAGCTTGAGGCACCCCAGGCCCTTAGGCGCAGAGAGAAGAAGAACTTTGGGTGAAGCCAGAGACCAGATTCTAGGGTCTTAATGGTTCCCTTCTACTCTCCTCATAGACTTTCATTCCCTCTGCCTCCCCAACCAGGCATTCAGGGCCTTAAACTTTCTCCAAGAAAGGAATCATGGGACTCAAATAATTTCAGAGCTGTAAGGAACCTTGGAGATCACCATACACAGCCTCCTTTTACAAAAGAGAAAACTAAGACTTTGAAACTTTATGTTTACTTGGGCAGGTCTCCTGACAGTACAATTCCACCAAGCAAAAAGAACGTTTGCTCCTGGGGCAGCTAGGTGGCGCAGTGGATAGAGCACCGGCCCTGAAGTCAGGAGGACCTGAGCTCAAATCCGGCCTCAGACCAAACACTTGACACTTACTAGCTGTGTGACCCTGGGCAAGTCATTTAACCCCAACTGCCTAAAAAAAATTTCAAAAAAAAAAAAAGAACATTTACTCCTTAAAATGGTGTAGAGTCCTCTACCCCTATTAAAAAAATACTGGCACATTCCTCTTACCTCTTTCCCCCAAAAAAAACATTATAGGGCACTACAGTGAGCTCCACAGTCAATGAACACTGTATTGAATGCCTACTGTGTGAGAAACACCATTCTAGGCAATGGGATACAGAGGAAAAGATAACAAAAATAAAAGATACGATTACTGACAAAAAAAAAAGACTTACTATCAATCAACAACCATCTTTACCTAAATGCAATACTGAAAGTCACATGTCCACATGGTAGGGACACACATAGGGATTATATGATTTTAAAGCTGAAAGGACCTTAGACATTAACTAGGCCAACCATTTTATTTTATAAATGAGAATACTGAAGGTCAAGGAGGTGAAGTTAATTTCCCAAGATTAGAGAGTAAAAGTGGTAAAAGTGGCAGAGCCCAGGTCCTCAGGTTCCAAACTCATGGCTCTTTCCTTTACAACACTTCTCTTCTAAGGGGGAACTTCAGGGGTGAACTTCAGAATCATAAGGCTGAAACAGAGAAAAGATCTTGGTGAGGTCCATCAAGTACAGGATCCCCAAACGAAAGGAAAGACAAGAAGGGCCACTACCCCTAAGATCTGTCTGTCCCACAATGGAAACAAGATGCCCCTAGATGGACCTGTCTTCTGCTCTAAATGGGTTTTCTGCCCTGCAAAATGACTTTAGTGAAAGGATGAACTCAAGCTGCTGCCTAAGCTCCTATGACTGGCAGCTCCCATTAATTACACTTTGTCAAGGCTCCTGACTTGCATTTACAAGAGAGATAATATCAGATCTGCTGGGGAGTCCTTGAGTTTTCCTTCAGTCTATAGGGAGGGGGCTAGAATCACAGGGGTAAAAGGTCTACCTAGCAAGGAATAAAAGAAAGTAGTTCAGAAGACAGATTCTGTTCTGGTCCTCAAAACCAACTTTTAAGGAGAACCTTTAAGTCAGCATTCGATTCCTGATATTATGATTTGTCCTCATCCCTCATACTTGAAACAGGCTCTAGGATGAAGGCTCTAAGAAGAGAAATGAAGAAAAATGGATCTGATCTCAACAATCTCTGCTCTTCCTCAAAACAAATTAGTTCCATTTCCAGGCCTCACCAGCTTTGTTCCCCCATTAGTCAGACCTACCCTATTGGCAGGAAAGACTTTAATCCTTTTCTTCTTGGCTTTGGGGTAATAATCTCTGGGGAGTTTTCTCTGGGTCCCACAACTTCTACTGAAATCTAGTTTCCCTCTTCCTACTCTATTTGTGCTACTATCACCATTTAGCTGGTACTCTCATCTATTCTTCTGTGGGAGTGGTGTCTCTTCCAAGGCATTTGGGAAAAAGTGCCCCAAACCATAGATCTATACCCCATCTTTAAAAGAGATTTTAGATGCATCCTTCCAAGCAAAGGATGGTAGGGCAGTGAACAAGTGTTCTGATCTAGTGTTCTGATCAAGTTTGAGGCCAGGGTGGATTCCATGGACAAAGATAGTGAGACCATAGATAAAGCTAGGCAAATGAGACTAGGATAATAAGAAGCACAGGGATCAGGAGACCAAGCTTAGAGTTCCCAAATACGTGTTCCTGGTGCCAACCTCAAGCCACTGGCCTGATACCGAGACACTGAGATAAAGGAGATACTGAGTGGACAGGCATCTCCTTCCTACTGAGCAACACTCCCTCCTCCCCGCCTTCCAAACACTAAGATTCTTTCTAAGTATCCTTTGGTCCAAGGCATGTTTAAGAGACATTCAAGGCTTGCCTTCCTCACCTTGCCCCCCACACTTACTGGAGATCTCCATATCAAATAAGTACCACCCCCTTGCAATTTTATCTTTACATTTAGAAAGGAGAAGAAGGGAATGGGGAGAGTACAGAGGAAGAGGGCATGGGAACTGGGAAAGAAAAAGCAGATTAGGATTCAGAAGATGGTCTCAGCTCTTCAAAGAAAGTGTGGGATAACTCTAGGGTTCTAGGTGTCCTTGCTCAGAGCTCTATATCTGATGACTCTGGTGGCTCAGAGTCTCCTCCTTCCTTAAGGTCCAGTTTAGACCGGAAGGACTGAGGAAATCTAGGGAAACAGACTGATGCAGAGAATCAAGGGAGTGATTTTTCACAACTGGAAACCAGTCACCTGATTTCAAAGTTCACATCCAAAGTACACTTCTTGCCACTTCCATTTCCAGTTGGCAACAAAAAACTTAGGTATACCCAACTCCCAGGGTTGGGAATGGCTGCAGTCATAGAGCAGACCTCCCTACCCAACACGGAAGAACAAAGGTTGGGAAACCATACCCAGGCCACTTTGTTTCATTTCTGTGGGGGGACGTGAAGACTGGAATAGACGATAACTAGCAGGTCGTGAGGATGAAGTCTCAGACAGTACCTGTGGGAAAAAAATCATATGTTACCATCTCCCTACATAGGTCAGAAAACTAAAACCCAGGTCCTGAATCTCTGGTTCCCTGCAAAGTCAAGCAGCCAATATCAGAAGAGCTAAAGGGTGAAAGGGCACTGATGAGAAGATGTGAGGGAAAGACAGGTATAGAGAGAGAAGAGCTGCCCAGGCTCTCTTCCATAATAGAAATCATTTTGTTCCCTTTCCCCACAGCCCGTTCCATTCCAGCTAAGAAACAACCATTCCTCCTACTCCTAGCACAGAAAGCTCTCTGTTTCCTATACACTCCTTCCTAGGGTTCAAAAGGTTTACAATAGCTCAGTCATAAACAGAAAACAGTCTGGATGGACCCCCACTCCCCACCCACCCCTGGCCAAGTCTTTGTATTAATGACTCCTTTTTTCCATCTCTACTTGCACAGGGAAGGTAGAAAGTTCAGTTGCCCTACAGCCACACCCTGTTCCCTCTTCTCTACCTTGGCTAAACCCTACCTTATTCTACCCTAGAAATTAAAAATGGATTTTCAAGTAGATCACACCTGATCACTTCCTCCAATCACCACGCCCTGCCCTACCTGGAAGATGTGCTAAGCCCCTAGGTCCCAAGCATCAGAGACAGAAGGTGGGAAAAGGAAAGGGGATGGGGAGGGGGACCTGTACATAGGATGCCAGGTGGGTGGTGAACACAGCCCTGGGCTGTAGGCCAATGGCAGGGAGAGGCAAAGGGAGGTCTCTTGACTTCCACAGGCCATACCCAAAGGGTCAATTTGGTCAGCCTGCCTGCACACTGCATACTTATGACTTGCAAGCAAACCAGATAAAAAGAGCTGGTCACAGGGCTGCAGAAGGCCACCCCTCTACCTCCAGCTCCTACAAAGCAAAGCTAGTTATAACTGGAGAGACAGACTACTTGGATACATATGGTATCAGAGTCACACATTCATACCCTAATATACACATGAATATGGAGAAAAGGTAGAAGGCAAGTAGCAGAATGAGACAGGATTGATTAAATGACAAGGGTACCTAACCAGAGAATAGAGGAAAGGGGTTTCCTATGAGGTTAGAGAACATACCTAGGTAGGCCAGGAAGATATCAATCCTTCCTAGGCAGAAGGCTAGACTGAGGTTAGGGCAGAAAGATCCTTATGGGCTCATAACAAGGAAGTTAAATGATCAATAATCACATGAAAGTGTTCAAACCCTTTAATGATTAAAAAAAAAACCCGCAAATTAAGATAACTCTGAGATGCCACCCTTCACCTATCAAATTGGCAAAGATGGTTAAATATGATAAAATTAAATGCTGGCACTACTATGGAAAAACAGGCATGCTTTTACTAGTTCATGGCTGGTGGAGCTATGAATTGGTTTGATTCTTTAGTTAAGCAAGGTATTATATAAGAAGCAGTATGGTACAAAGGATAAAAAACAGGCCTTGGAATGAGGAACACATGGGCTCAAGTCCCTCTGACACATACTACCTATATAATTATGGATCCATCTCTAACCTCTTAACGATCCAGGCAACAAAAATTCCAGGTTAACAAGTGGCTAACCTGCATCAATGGAGAGGATATCCAAACCAGTGGTTCTCTACACTAATAAAATCACAGGTCAAGACCCCAAAAATGTCATTAAATAATAAATCTATAAAACTGTTCACACCTTTTGGCCCCAGGGCTCCATTACTAGGATTAGATCATAAAGCTTTTATTGACACGATTTTAAAAAAGATCTATACAAAAATATTCCAAGCAATGATATTTGTAATATATAAAAACTAGGGGGGAAAACTATCTGATAGACTTAACCCTTCTCACCAATACAAGGCACTAAGGCATCTCCAAAGGCCTCACAATGGAAAGTGCTCTCCACATCCAGAGAAAGAACTATGGCGTTTGAATGCAGATCAAAGCTTACTCTTTGTTATTTTTTTTTCTGTTGTGTTTTGTTTCCTTTTTCTGGTGGTTCCTCCTATTGGTTCTAATTCTTACTTACATCACTGATGTGAAAATATGTTTAATAGGAATGTACATGTATAGCCTGTATCAAGATCACGCGCTGTCTTGGGGAGGAAGGGGGAGAAAAATTTTAAACTCAAAAGCATATGGAAGTGACTGTTGGTAAATCAAAATAAATTAATTAAAAAAACTGTATCTGATTAGAGAATGGCTGAAGAAACTGTGGTATAAGAATATAAGGGAATACTACTATGCCATAAGAAATGATAACTATGATGAAGACCAAGAATTCAGAGAAGCAAGAAAGACTTATATGTGCTTAAAAAGAGTGAAGTAGGGGACAGCTAAGTGATGCAGTGGATAGAGCACCAGCCCTGAAGTCAGGAGGACTTGAGTTCAAATCCAGCCTCAGACCAAACACTTGACACTTACTAGCTGTGTGACCCTGGGCAAGTCACTTAACCCCAATCACCTAAAAATAAAAATAAAAAAAGAGTGAAGTAGAACCAGGAAAACAATATACATCATGACAACAATGTAAATAGAAAGGACAACAACACAACACAAATCTCTGCTATATAATTGTAATATTATAATAGCATTCAAAAAAGTTTAGAAAATGTACTTTCTTCCCTACATTGCAGAAGGTACAAAATTATGCTATGTCTGTCAGATATGGTTGGTATATTGTTTAGGTTTTGTCTGCACTGAGTTTTTTTCTCTTTGTTTTTTAAATCTTTGCAACTAATATTGGCTAGCTGGTGGCACAGTGGATAATGCTGGGCCTGAGTTCAAAAGTTATTTAAAAAAAAAAGTTATTTCAGACACTTACTACCTGTGTGACTCTGGGCAAGTTACTTAACCTTTGTTTGTCTCAGTTTTCTCAACCATAAAATAGGGATAACAACAGCAACTACCTCACAGGGTTGTTGTGAAGGTCAAATGAGATAACATATGTAAAAAAATGCTTAGTCCAGTGCCTGGCAAACAGAAAGCACTATATAAATTTCCCCTTAAGAAAAAAAGGGAGAGAGGGTGTATTTGGAAATGTGGTGTAAAAATAAAACACATCAACAAAAATAATAACTTTTCAAAAAATAAAAAATATGAAGAACATAAACAAATATACAAAGAATTATATGAAGTAATAGAGAGTGAAAAAAGCAGATCCCAGAAAGCAATATACACATTGACTTCAACTTTGGAAATAATAACAGAAGCACCAACAAAATCTGGATAAATACAAATAAGTAAAGAAGTTTAAATGGGCACATGAAAATGAACTGGAAAATGTTGTTACTAGTTTGTTAAAATTAAAATGTTTTAAAAACAAATTACAAATAACAAGTTTACACTTTCATGTTCAATCAATTACAATCTTTTATTCTTGTATATTTTACTGTTTGTGTTTATCTAGGGATATTAAGAATACTTTTTTAAAGCTAGTTTCCTGGAGTAGAAAAACCAAGGACATTGAAGTTCTCATCAGTCCTGTGTCACCTGCCTGAACAATACCTCAGAGGCATCACACACCAGAGAGCTGGTGGAAATGTTGATCAGCTAAGTAATGAGTGTATTCTGATGCTGGAAATGGCACCCTTCTGTCTCTGTACAGCTTTTATTTTGTGATATGCATTTGTGGGGACTTCATCAGGTGCTGAATTACAACAAAGAGGGAAAAAAATGTAGCACTAGCTTTACTTTGCCTGAAGAAGTCTACCTTACATATGCAACTTTAAACTCTTATTAAAACAATCATGAAGTACTGAAATGTTTCATGTAAAAGTCTAACGAGGAGGAAGGGGAGAATGAATGATACTTGAATTTCACTCTCATTTGAACTGGTCAAAGGAGGGAAGAATACACATACACAAACACACACACACACACACACACACACACACAGAGTGGGTACAGAAATACATTTCACTCAATGGAGGGGGAGAGGGAACTGGAGGGCAAATTAAGGAAGAGATCAGTCCTAAGCAAAACAAACTCTAAAGACATACAAAAACATTTGTAGCTCTTTTTGAGAAAGCAAAGAACTGGCATCTGGGAGGAACAGCTATACAAGCTATGATAAACGAATATGATGAAATGCTATTATGTTATAGGAAAAGATGAAGTGAATGGTTTTAGAAAAACCTGGGTAGTCGTATAAATTGATGTAGAGTAAAGTGAACAGAACCAGAAGGAGAAGGATAGCAATATTGTAAAGACAAACAATTTTGAAAGACTTAGAAATTTTATCAGCATAATGACCAACCATGATGCCAAAGGACTAATAATGAAACATGATACTCACCTCCTGGTAGAGGTGAAAGACTCAGTGCGCAGAATGAGACATGTATATATGTACGTGCATTTTGTGTGTGTTTTTTTTCTTTTTGGACATGACCAATACGGAAATTTGCTTTGATTGACAACACAGAGAAGAAATTTTGTTTTCCTTTCCTTCTCAGTGTGGAGAAGGGGTATGTGGAATAGGAGGGAGAGAAAGCAGATTTTTCCTGACTGAAAAAAAAATTTAATCTAAAAAAAGATAACAAAGAAACAAGGGATGATTCCAAGGAAAAGGTAGTATCTATATTGGCTCCCCAGCCACCTCTTTAGTCAGACCTTTAAATCATGAAATGACTATGAAAGCCAGTTTCAAGTTATCCTGAGAGATCTTCATAGAGTCCTGAGGACCAGGAAAAAGAGAGAAAGATGCCACAAAACTGAACACAGAACAAAATATTCCAGAGCAGAAAACAGTACAAAAAAGCCTCTGAAACCAAAATTAATCACACGGCCAAACAGATTGTCTCTCCAGACAAAAAATGGGTTCACATAGCTCAATGAAGATAACCTTCCTTTCCAGGAAAGAGAACTAAAAAGACTTTGACATCTGAACAAAGATTTTTGTGAGGGTCATATAGGAATGGAAAGTACCCAATTTCAGCCTCCTAATTTTTAAGAAGTTGCCTTTCCTCACATTGCCCAGGTGTCTTCTCAGTCCAACATCTCAATACTCCTAACCTCCGCATTACCATTCTTGCCCCTCCATCACTGGGATTTCTCTGGCTTCAAACCAGTTGATCTGGAAGAGTTCTAGAAACAAGGAAGCATCCTGTGGAATCAGGAGACTAATATCACTCTGTTAACAGGAGGTGAGGGACTGATGCTACTTTAGAGCTCCCAAAGTCATTGAGTATGGGGGATGGGAGGGGTAGTGATTGAGAACACTATACATGGATAGTGTCCAATGTGTTCCCTTCCCATCCTTTCTCCCCTCCTCTCTCCATTACCTCCATAGAGCCAGCTTTACGGTTGCGGATGAGTGGGGATCTTCTTGGGAGACCAGGGATCTCAGGCGGCTGGGGTGATGTCTGTGATACCCGATCTGTCTCATCTCGACCCTTACTCCGACACAGGTCCTCTATACTGCCTTTGTCTGTCTGCAGCTCCTCAGTCTGCATTGTGTGTTAGAGAAGAAGGGGTGACTGCCTTCTCTATACCCAGCCCCTTCATTCCCTGCCACCAACTCCCTAGATCTCTATCTCCCAGCTTCTGAGACCCAGATTCCAGCAACCTTGCCCACCTCGGAAGAGGCTGGGCGGAAACCACAGCCGGTGGGGGCACTGCCATCCTCTTCAACACCTTTCACTCCAGGGCTGAAGTGCAGTTCCACATGGAATCGCTTCTCTGATGATGGATCCTAGGGGATACCACCAGATGAGAGGATTTCAAAGGATGGGATGTTAAGAAACAGGGAAGATGATGAAAAGGAGTTCCAAGAAGAAAAGTACCTAATTCTCAGGCTTCTAAAGCCTGCCTCCTTCTTCAGTATCATATTACAGTGAATCTCTTCTACCGCAATCTCTAGGTTTAAGGAACCCTCACTTCCCCAGCCCTGTGGTCCCTTGTTCATATAACTCGACTAAGTATAAATGTTATTCTTCTACCTCCCATAGGAACTTGGTCATTACATAATCCACTTAAAGAAACACTTCTGAAGCTTGGAGAGAAGGGTGATTTATCTAGATAGTGCTCTCATCTCACCCTAACTCTAGGTCCAGTGGCTGCATTCCACGTTGCTCCTTCTGGCACTACTTATCCCCAGAAGTGGTTCTGTTTACTAAGAAGCTCCTAACTATCCTGGCTCATGCAGTACTCTGTAATCCAAATGATCTCCCACATTGTGGTCCACAGATCATGGGGATGGGCAATGACTTCCTTCTCTGAGCAACGGCTGAGGGTAGAGAGGTTAGATCTTATCCTGATCCTACCCTGACATCTCCTCACCTGAGTGTTGTCTTCGTATAACATGATGACAATCTGAGTCATGTAGTTGAGCTCTGAGATGGCACTGAGATAAGCCAGAGCCCTCTGCCACTGTGCATCCTGAGATTCCTACCAAATATGAGGAAAGGCGTCTCAGGGCTTGAGATGAGGGGTTGGACAATAAAGGAATGAAAGGGGTGGTGGGCCTGAGGCTGGGATTGGGGGAGGGCCAAGGAGAACTAAAGAAAGGAGCTGCCCAGGATGCTGGGCAGGTGGAGACAGAGGGTCCTTACATCAAGAAGGCCTCCATAACGGAAGACACTGAGCAGGGAGTGGACATGGCTCTCACTGGTGAAGTAGAGACGGGTGCGGACATGGCGACCTGGGGAGAGCACTCCTCTGGAGTACCTGAGAAAGTTGCCTCGTCATTCATAAGTATATAGTCATAACACCATCCCTCCACCATCTCTTTCTTTCATCCCTAAAGAGGACTTCTCCCTCATATTCAGTAGTCCTCCTGTGCCCAAGTCTCTCTAACTGTTCCAGTTCTGGCCTCACCAAGAGCCCTTTACATGCCCTACCCCCATTCAATGCCCCTTAACCCTCCCTCACAGGGGGTGCAGCTTGTTGACAGACTCATCCTCATGGGTTCGCTGTAGGTCAAGCTGAATCTTCCTCAGCAATGGGAGACAAAAGCCCACAGCAATCTCCAGTTTCTCCTCCCGGCTGATCCCATACTCCTAGAGAACCAGAGGCTAAGTAAGCACTCAGTGGAGCCTGTGTTCCTTTTGCTTCTGCCTACTCTCCCTCCCCCCTCCCCCCAAACCTGGCACTATCCTCTTGGCTTTCTATCTTTCCCGGGTCTCTCTTCAAACCCACTATTACTCCCATTCCATGTATTACGAGGATTATCTACTTAGGCCAGTATCCTTTGCTCTTACTCACAGTCCAAGGGCAACCAAGTGTGGTTGGTCATCAGAAGAGAGTTAGAGCAGTTCAACTAACCCCACTCTGCCTCTATGCTTCCTTTCTGCTGCCCTTCCAGACTCCAGCCATGAAGCATTTCCAGAACCAACCTGAGGAATGACCACATCGGCCAGCGCCTTGGAGAGTCGCAGCAGTTCTGCTGTCCCCTGGAGCCCCAGGCCCCCATTGTGCTGCACATCATACTTGACACAATCATAGATGTCAGGGATTTTGCTGATATCAAAGCGTCCATTTTTCTGCCTAAAGTCACGTTCCAGCTTGCTCCAGCGCTGCAGCATCAACTCCAGAGTCTCACTGTGGTATAACTGTAGGTCTGAAGGTAACAGGGAAAAGTCACATTAGGCAGACCCCTAACATGAGTTAAGGACCATGATTTGGACCACCACCACCATCCTGAAGAGCAAACAGATTCCAATTATGCAGGGTCCAAGAGGGAAGATAACGATTCCCCCAGTCACCCAGAGGAAGAGACAACAGAACCTTGACAACACCCTAGGGGAGAGATGGCAGTGCTCTTACCCACCTGCCGACTTGGGGTCCTGCAGCCGTTGCCGGATCTGGTGCGTGAGGTTCTCAATCAGGGCGAATACCTGGTTACAGATCTCCACGGGATTCTGAATTACGGCCATTGAGTTGAGCAAGGAGAGGCTGCCGGTAGGGGCCAACTGGGAGAAACAAAGAAAGAGTATCATAAGCTCAGAGCCCCTCACCAGATCCCTGGATCTGGATAATCACAAAGCAAATGCATGCTAGCTCCCTATGATGAACACTTTATATCTATTAATGTCTATAGATAACTAGTATCTAGAGACATTAGCCTGAGTTCTCTATCACCTGAGACAATTCTGGTCAGTAAAGGGGGCAGGGGATGAAGGGAAGGGCCTTAGGTCAACATAAGCGAAGAAGGATTTGTCAGTGAAGTCGACTGTTCTTGGTCACGTAAATGAGCCCTACAAGGGTATGGGGATAATTCACACAACCTAGAATCTTACATGTCCACCTTATAGTAAGTGGTAGAGGATGGAAAAAGAGACAAAAGATCAATTCCATCCAACTGGATACTTAGCAAGGTGCAGAGAAGTAAGTGGGGCCTCATTACATCCTAACCAAGAGAAGAAGAAGTGGAGTCACTTACCCCTCCTTATACCAACCCAGAAAAAGTATCCAGTTATCCAGTCCACTCAAATTCCCCAAAGAATAACACAAACAGGAATGGTAAGGGGAAATGGAATGACGCTGTTCAACCTCAATTTGGCAAATGGTCTCCTTCTTTCCAAGGCCTATGCTAACCGTGGAAATCAGATTGTCTCAGGGAAAGAGTGACTCTAAACTAACCCTGCATTTCAGAATGAAACTCGGTCAGGAAAACTCCTTTAACAGGTTGGGTTTAGAATAGCTCCTTACGTGCAACACCAAGGTAAAGCAAGTCTCCTGACTTGGTTCCAATCTATAACACAAATGGGATCTGAGTCCACCAGAATGGGTTCCATTTCAAGACCCTGAGGCATCTACACAGTCATGAAGCAGGGCCACTGGGGAAGGGGAAGCAGTGCCCTAAGGAATCCCTAGGATTCCACAAATACCAAAAGATGAGGACAGGACACCTAATCGTCTAAATGCAGTTACTGTGTGATTAGCAGAAAGGGGTGTGGACAGTATTATTTATTGGATCCAGAACAAGATATTTGGAGTAAAGGGCACAAAGAAGCTCAGACCTGCTCATAGTCTCCAGGGCCAAAGGGTGTATCCTGCTGTAGAATGTGATGTAGTCGCGCCTTCACACGGTGTTGGCAGCTGCTCAACGAGTCACCATCACTGTCCAGAAGCCCATTCATGTTGGCACTCTTCACCATTTGCACCAGGATGGGTGTCAGCTCCCCCTCCAGTGCCAGTAATCCCTATGACAGGAGCCATGGGGAGTGGGGGCGTTGTTAATCCCCTCTCTGGGCCAGCAGCCCTGGTGGTGGAGGGGTGGAATGGGCCTAAGGGGCTATGGAGAAGACACAGAGCTGGCTTGGTGGGGGCAGGGGTGCTCCTACCTCCCACCTCCTCTTCCCAGAAGAGCAGAAAAGGGTCAGATACAGTCATCGAGCCACCAACCTATCCTTCTGAGATGAGCACCCAAAATTCCCGCACTGCATTAACCCTCCATCTAAATTAGCAGCTTTTCCAACTGCCAATGTCCATGAATTTGGGGTTAGGGTGGACACCTTGGCAAAGGCTGCAGCCGTCATCTGTACACGACCCTCATCTGAAGCATAGATCTTGAGGTCATGGCGATAAGTGCTATGGAGACGTAGAAGCCCACAACCAGGGAAGCCAGCATAGTCCCCTGGGAGTGAAGAGGACCACAAACAGACACCTGTCAGGATCCTAGGGCAGGGAAGAAGGAATTTATTCCTCCCCCCTTCAACTTTTCCTTGCCACAGTGATTTTTTCCCTTTATTTCCCCACTCACCCCATATTTATCTTGTTCCAAACCCACCATACATTTACTCCTCAACACACTCACCCTGGCCCCCTGGGTACATGCAGCGAAAAGCTCGTCCCAGCTCCTCAGCCTGGACCCGACCATCAGGAGTCAGCTCCCCACCCCACTTTAACACCAGCAACAGAGACGGGGCCAGGGTCTCCCGCTGTTGATCTAAGGGTAGTAGAAAGCAGTGAACTGGGCCTGGGTAACGTTCTGGGAACATCTAAGTAGTACAGAGTGAAGGTCTGGATGTTAGCCTCAATAATTCTGAGAGGGAAGAAGCTGGGGAATGACACTAGAAAAGCAGGAAGGAGGCAGGGCAATGAACAGATGTTCTACAGGTCTAGTGGGCTAGAGATTCAGAGAGCTAGAGTGAGTTGTACATCTCACCTTGCTCCTCATTAGAGACCCTGGTTCCATGGGGGTAGTAAGTCAGCTGTACCTTTCTATTGATGCCTGAGAAGTGACCATACCTGCCAAGAACAGAGTCCACTGTCCATTCCAACCCCAGGACACAGACTCCATGGTTGACAGCCCATATCAGGCTCCCTTATTCTCACCCCACTCCTTACATCTCCAGCACAGTCTTTAGCTGCTCCAGCTTTCCTGTTTTCTCTTCAATCTCACCACCAGGGTCCTTCTCCAGCTCTCCCAACAACAGCCGAGTGATGTCCAGCACCTCCTGAGGAGAGGGGAATAATGGGATGTATTCACAACTCTTCACCAGTCATCTATCTTAGGATCACTGTACATTTTTCCTAGATGGATTTCCCAAACTCGTATCCTTTCCTCCTACAGTGACTGTTCTCCCCAATGAGGTTACCCACCTGCAGCTGCTCTGGCCTTTTCAGTTTCAGTTTCCCAGTTTTGTAGCCACCATGTTTCTCAAACAGTGCAAAAAACCTGGGTAGGAGTGGGTGAAGGAAAACACAAGTGGGAGACTCAAGAACTGTGAGAAGAATTTACTTCTTCACTCAGTATATGGACCCTCCCCTTACCTGGGGTGTGTAACTTCCATCTTCATTTTCTGTTTCGGAGTTCGATCCCCATGACGGATGATGGCGATGACACAACGGAGTTCCATCCTGGGAAAAAGGCATATGTTAGAGCAACCTTAGTCAGCGAACCTTTTCATGAGTGCCTTAGATGGAAAAGAGTACTATCTGCAATGAAGAATGGGGATGTGGCTAAGGATACTTCATGAAAGGGATCCCCTTGTCAGTCTAGGGAGAGGTGGTAGGTGCTTATCCGTCAGTCCTGGGAATCCCAGGCCCCAGATATCTCTGTGGGTACATAACTACAGCTTCTAGGGCAGCTAGGTGGTGCACCAGCCCTGGAGTTAGAAGGATCTGAGTTCAAATCTGGATTCAGACACTTGACACTTACTAGTTGTGTGACCCTGGGCAAGTCACTTAACTCCACTGACTAGTCAACAAAAAAAAATTAGCTACAGCTTCTCTCTGTCTCTTACATGGTGCCAGATGTGGTGGGGACGATGGGAATGTCTTCAGCCTCTGTGGGAATGGACCATGGAATCTGAAACTGGGGGGCAAGCTCCCGCATTATGGTATTCCTAGAAAGAAGACGACATAGAAAAATAATAATCTTCCTTGTAATGGTAAGCAAAAAAAACTGCAAAAAAGAAGATCTCTGTTAAACAGGAAACAAAGGATAACCTCATTCCTAGACTGGCTTCCCCTCACCCAAAACAATGTCTCCCATACCATACCCCAAGATCTTGGCACAGTCATCATAGTATTTCATTGAGTTCTTGACAAAGCTGAAGCCATTGACATCACAGACAAAAGAGTGACCATTGGCACGGAGAAGGTCAAACCCACAGACTGTTTGCTATGGGACAGAAAGTGAAGGATAAAACCAGGCTGCAGAAATAATTTCTTCCCAAATTCCTCATGCCTTTTCCCCTTCCCTGCCATCCCATTTATCCTATATTTCCCCTCACCAAAAGCACCATCCCACCAACTTGGATCTTCCTCTACCTTGAAAGCAACACAGACTTTCCTGGCCACTAGCTTCTCCATGGCAGTCAGCATGACTGGGTATCGAATCTCCTTCCCTTCACTGTCCCTTTCCACCTTTCCATCTAAGGCCGGAGACTTTCGGGCTTCAGCATGGGCATAATCTGGCCCCACTGTATACACCTACAAAAATATATAATTCCTGAGAGAATCCATGCCACACAGTTCCCTCAGGCCAATCACGACACATATACTTGAAAAGATTATGGAAAATAAATCATTTTAAAAGGAGAGACTTTGGGCATTATGGTTAAGCTTGGTTTAGAATAAAGATCCTGGGCCTAAGAAAATCAATATTCATCCAACTAAGAATATATAGGTATAAGTATGAAGGCTGCTCCACCAGTACCCCAATATTATCCTCCATTTTCTATTTTTAAAATCCCCCCACTGCAGTATATCAAGTGCCTTCACAGCCCTACTTTACAAATGTCATAAATGCTTCAAATCCAATATCTCTACTACTTACCTTGTAATTTCAGTACATTACTAAATCCACACTCAGCTTTTACCTTGTATGCCCCCTCCTTATACTTCCAAACTCCCCCACCCCACACAATAACATCTTAACTGTGTGACTTTGGGCAATTCATTTAAATTCTCAAAGCCTCATTTTCCCCATATAAGAAGAAAAGGAAATGGATCTCTAAAATGAGAGGAGCGAACTACATGGCCTCCGAGGTCCCCTCTGCCTCTAAAATGGTATGATATGTGTAACCTGTATTCCCACACCCCCTTCCCTTCCCTGCAACCTTGACATCAGTGCCATCTGTGGGCATGAATTCCTCATAAATGTAAGATCCAGTCTTTCGGACACTGCTCTCAGGGGAGTACACACTGCTTCGGCTGCCAATCTACAAAATGGAGAGAGATTCAAAAACATGTGAGTCCATCCTCCCTTGCCATTTTGTTCCTGAATCCTTCAGCTTTTACCCCACGACTCCATCCCTATCCTTCCATCTCTCTGCCCCTCCCCATATCCCTGACTGCCCCCACACCTTACGAAAGAGGCGCTGGCTCCCCCCACCAGCTGTGCTGGGATAGTAGATGTAGACGTTGTGATCCTCAGCACTCACTGGCTTCTCCACAAATGGTTTGGGAAACACAGCTCCATTCACCTCCACCTGGTCCTCACCCTCTATCAGGTTGCACTCTGAGAGGTAGAATATGGTCAGTTCTGGGGGCCTTGGGCACACCTCTTCTACCACTAGAACCCCCCAGCGCCTCAGTCTCTGCAACCTTCAAATCCACAAGCCTTGCATCCTAGGAACCACCCCAGAAGCCTATCCCAGGATCCCTAGCCCTCCCACCTATACAACAACCAAAGCCCTACTTAGCTGGTAATAGCAGAAAATCTTAAGGATACTGAACGAGGCTGAAGCCCAGAGGGCTGGGCAAAGGATAGGGCTGGATACTCACCGTCTGGCCGGGCAGGGTCACGATTAAGCACAGCATATCGAGGCAGATCAATGCCCTCCTCTTGCAGGATTCGGTATACTTCCCGCCTGCAACCCCAAAACTATTAGCTAGAGGAAGCCTGAGGGGTGGGAGTGGGGTGGAGATGAGGATATCAGGATCAGTGTGAGAGAGAACCAAGTTTCTGGTTTTGTCCTTCCCCCAAAAGGGCTCCCCAAATACCAGAGGCTAAGTCTGTGGGCAAGAATGAAGGAAGACTCAGTCCCATATATTTAAGTGGACAGTAGGAAGCCATACCTGTCCTGGATGTAATACTGCATTGTCAGATCATTGATGAGGAAGGGATTTCGAAGCTTGGCATAAGCAACAGCTTTGTCCAGGGGGAAGCCTAGTAGAAAAAAGAATCCAAGACACAAACATCATAAAACTGAGAATTGTCAGTTTCCACTGAACCCCTCTATATACTAACCCACCACTACCCCTCACTCATTTCCCAAACATCCAAAAGATCCTTTGGAATTATTTCCAGGAGCCCAGACATTCTGATGGTTGTAAAAGTTGTGGAACTGTCCTAAGATCTGCAGTGTATAGCCCCCGCAAACAAAGATGGCATTTGTTTTTTCAAATGTGTCAAGAGGAAGGAATAAGCAGCCCCATTCACTGTTACTCTCCCAATGAGATGAAACAGTGAAGGACAAATCTAAACTCCTAAGCCCCACAATTTCCAATCCCATTCTACTCTCTTTTCTCCCCGAGGTTCTCACCTTTGGAGTGGAAAGAGATGAGGCAGTGGCAAGATGGCCAGTTCTCCACAGGCTCATTAAGGATAACATCCTCACCCAGAATAATCACAGTTAGATAGTCAAAGCGGCATAGTCGTTCTAGGATCTGGGTCATTGGCTTGGACTTGGACTTCTTGGTCATGGCACAAATGCCAACAATAATCTGCCGCTCAAGGGGCTAGAGTGTGGAAGATGTTGTCAGAAAGTTTCCATACAAGGTGTCAGGACTTCCAAGGGACACAAAGATTCCCCCATATATATAAGCTACAGGATACAGTCAAACCTAGAGAACAGTGCTCCTATGCACAGGCATACCCCTCCTCCCATCCCAAGACAAATTTAGGGACTCCTGCCATCCATGGAATAATGTCTTCTCCATAGCAGCACAGGGTATTTTTGTGACCAGGCATCAGGTTCCCCAGATAGCCACCAACCCCTTAGATTCTAATGAGTTCTACAAATGAAATAGTTTGTTTTAGTACTCTGCCATCTCCTTACATCAGAAAAGAGCCAAGTGCCAACAGAAGGCAGGTAGATCAGGCCTTTCTAGAGGGTAGAGAAGTGGCCACCACTGAATACTGCCTTTAGTAATAGTGGCTTCACCATTATACCTTTTATTCGTCATGTACTCACCATTTCATCTTCTTCATCTTCGAGAAGCTCACTCTCGCTCTCTTCCATACTCATGCCTGCTCCCTGGGTGCCCAGCCCCTCATCCCCAGCTCCAACAAAGAAGCGGGGTGTGGCACTCTCGATCTCACTGGCCGACAGCGACCACATTCCCACCAGGAGACCCACTCATCCCGATCTGCAGAAGACAGCACTCCATCAGCCCCAATGAAGGCTAGAGGATACAGAATATAGCCAATACAGAATACTGTAGAGAGAACCACACGGAGCATGAGGGGAAGCAGGGAAACTAAACTGAAGAAATTACACCGAGACTATAGCAGATCAGGAGCAAGTGCAAGGTGATGAGAAGTAGGGAAGAAAGAAGGAGAAATCGAAATACTTAAAGGTCAGAAAAGTAGACAAAAGGGAATAGCCAAAGGTTATCCAGGAATGAAACTATTTCCAGAGTCAGGGAGTTAACCCTTATGAGGCTGACATTTCCTCAGTTCTTCCAGTGAAATAGTGTCTTCAGCAAAAAGTGGGAGAAGCAGCTCCTCATAAGAAGGGCTACGGGGAGGCGGGGGAGTTCTTTGCTGACAGAGAGGGCTGACACTGACATTCTAGACTTAGAATTTAATTTGGAATTTTCTTAGTCCTCTCTCATTCTCCTCACAGTGCTAAGCTTAGGGACCCTAACAAAAGTTGAATGATGCCACTTTTCATTGCCTGAGATCATTATCCTCAATTCCACCCAGAAGTCCACTGCAGTGTCAACTGCACCAAAGCCTCTCACAACCTAGCTTCCATCTAACCCATTGTTTTTCCAACTCAAAGACATGTACAAAAGACTAGATGTCAAAACAAAGGCCATAAAACTATTAGGGAGACTGGACTAAAGGAAGTCACATTTCTACCAACATACTATCAGACTGAGAGCTGAGTGCTCCACAAAAATTTTTCTCATCAAGGATCCTAAGCTTCAGGTATCACAGGACAGGATTCTACCTTGGACAACAGCAAGCAAAAACTCTCAAAAATAACCGCTTGAAAGTTCCACATAATGGCATTATGGAAAGAATGCCAAACTTAGGATCAGAAGACCTGGGTTCAAATCCAGACTCTACCACTTTCTAATGTGACCCTAAGCAAGCCACTTATTTTATCTGAGGCTCAGTTTCTTCAGTTGCAAAATGAGAACACTTCTACTTGTACTCCCTACCCCACATGGTTATCATAAATAAAGAGCTTTGGAAAATGCTATATAAGTGTTTACTTTAGCTTGGGAAGAAGTTATGTATTTAAATTCATCCAACCTTTTAAAATATTCTTCAGTAATCTGTTTTGATTTTATACCTTCCCAGTACCGGTGTTTTCTCTAATGATGTAATTATAACTACTTGTTTCCACAGAGACCTCTATCTTTTTGGTCTTCCGTGTCCTTTTCCTATCCCCCAATCATTATTCAAAGAACTGTATTTTCCTTGGTCCTTTCTAGGCCTTAAAAACATTTTCCTTTTTCCTTTTGTGTATCTTGTAGAATGCCTCTGTGCCTATATCATTTTGTTATTACTCTGGACTCAGTGACCTGGCCTGATTTTCATGCCTTATAAGCATTCCCAAGTCTCTGTACAGTGCTGAGTTTAAGCAGCTTAGATTTTTTCTGTCCTCCCTGTTCTTCCTCTGCAACAGACTTTCCTCTCATGTCTAGGATTCTTCTGACCCTGTGCACTTCCACCCATGGAGTCCCTTCTGGTTTTGCTCTAAGTTCACAACAGTTGTCTTATTGACTTCACATTTCATCCCAATAACAGACAATGGGTGTTAGGTTAAGGTACTCAGAACAAGAAGCTCCATAAACATCAATAAGGCCGGGCTTGCTATTAAGAAGGCTTGTGTGAGGGGACAGCATACACTTTGATTATGTCAGGGTTTACTTAACAAATGAGAAAAGGTTTTTTATAACCATGGCTAAAGAAGATAGGTGTTAACCCTCAAACAGCTAGCCCAAAGAGAAGCCTGAGAAGAACAGGCAAAGAAAAGGACCCCTTATATTCTCAAATGTAAAAAGCAAGATGCCCTTATTTAAGGTATAGAAAAAGGGTAAACAAGGTAACAAAACCAGGTAAATGACAGGTGGAGTCATTATTAATCAAGAGAAATGACTTCTTAAGATCAGGAAAGAATTACCACAGGCTAGTGCTCCGAAGTTTTAGAGCAAGGGTTTTTAATCTGAGGTCCATGGATAGATTTCAGGGGGTAAATAAACTCGAATGGGAAAAGTAACAAATTTATATTCACTAATGTCTAATTGAAGTTCAGCATTTTTTTCGATTATGAATATAAGCAAACTTTATTCTTAGGTGTCCACAGGTTTCACCAGACTGTCAAAAAGTGGTCCATGACACACAAAAAAATGTTAAGAATCCTTGCCTTAGATGACATCAAGAAGGGTAAAATAGAAAGTGTCCACAGCAATGATAAGCCTGGGCTTGCTACGAAGGAGGCTTGTGTAAGAGAACAAGCATATACTTCGATTACAGTAAGATTTACTTCTATGTATCTTTTCAAGAAGCTGGGGTCAGTATATCTCTGCCAGGGCCTTCCGTTTTCTTTCCATTCTCTCCCTCCTCCTCCCCCCCTAATATATAATGGTAACAAAGACTATATTCTCAGATTCTGCTCTTAGCTAAATGGTAGACACTTTGGACTGAATCAACAGAGAAAAAGGAAAGCAGTCTCCTCTCTAGGGACTTCTGCTTTGGATCAGGAATGGAGGAGGGGGAGGAGAGAGCAGGGGGTGAAACAACAGGAGAAAACCTTGAGATGAAGGCAAAACTGGGACAAGGGGAAACAAAATTAACAAATATATTGAGGATCACAACGAAGGGTACTTTTAATATTGATTTTTATAAATGCACACATTTTTTTCTTCCAGAAAGTTCACTCTCCATGGCACATAAGTATTCATTCTATGATAAGATGCATTGCTACAATGAAGGTTCAAAGCCTCCCATAGAAAGTGGGAGGAGGAGGAAAGAGGGTTTGGGAAGGAAAGGGAGTATGGGGGTAGTGGAGAGTGATAGAAGGAAGGGAGTTAATGGGGGGGGCAAGGGGAGTAGAATGGAAGGGCTGACACAGGGTAGGGGGAATAGAAAGGGGGGGGGTTGTCAAAATGAGGGAAGCAACATTTCCAAAACCTTGCCTAAGGCACCCAAATTCCTTATCGCATCCCTGAATCAAAGGCATTTCGGGAAACCTCTGCATGCAACAGTTCCTGCTTAAAAAATTTCATGCGGGTTTTCGTGGATGGGAAGGAAAAGAACGAGTTTAGGCTCCGGGCAGAATTCTCCCCGCCCCCAAAACAAGAAGCATCCCACGTCTTCCAACACTCTTTTCACCCCTAAACGGGATTCACCCCACCCCCTTTCCGACTTTAACCTTCCCCAGTTCCTTGCGTGTCTCCAGAAGGCTCCTCACACTCCCCCCTCAACCTCCTTTCCCTCCCCCCTCATCCCCCCCTTCCCTTCTCTTCCACCCCTGCCTCCCCCCCCCACCCCGTTCCAGAGAACAAGCAGTGATTTGCATCCGCGGGGCTCCACACTAACCCCTGACGATGACCCCGCCCCCTAAGGACTCCCCCCTCTCCAAATAGCTCTCCCCCTCCCCCATCGCCCCCGACATTGACCGCCCCCCCACTGCGCCCAGGTCACACAACCTGCGCTGACACGGACGGGTCTCCCCTGAGCCCTTTCCAACCCCGCAGCTCGCACCTACTGACCGCGACCCCCCAGCCCTGGCGGCCCGGGGCTTGCGACCCTCTCAGACACCGCCCCCGACCCCAGCCCCCAGCCACTCCCCCATTGCCGGGGGCCCTCACTCACCCGCCTCTCTCAGCCGGCGCAGCCGAACCTGCCGGCAGCGGGCACCTGACAGGGACCCAATCAAAGCGCGACTTCCCCTCCCCCGCGCCGCCAATCAGAGGCGGGCGCGCTCCGGGACGAGCGTCAGGCTGCGTTGGCCGGTGCTCTCGGAGGAAGCGCGCCCCCTGGTGTTGGGTTGGGGGAAAATGCAGCCTAGCTCTCTCTTCTTGCGGTGGTCACAGCTACCACGAAGATTCTTAAGTCCTTTGCACCTCGTCGCATTCTGCAACTCTTAACCCCTGGATTAAAGACAAAGACAGAGACCAGATAAAGAGAATGTGACTGGCAGACGGACGCTTAAAGGAGATCGGAGAGAGGAGAGGAAAACAACACAACCTATGGAGCTATGTATCCCCCTAAAGAGCAAAGGCCGTATCTTCCACTGTTTTGTAACTGCTAATTATTCACTTTGAAGTACTGTACATTCCACACGTGGATACAGAATAAGTGACTGAAAATGTTTGCAAACAAAATAGGTCACAGACAAAGACAGAGAGAATGTAAAGACTGGAGAGTGCCAAAATGAAGCAAAGACAGAAATAGAAGAAAAGGACAAAGAGATGGAAGTGGAAACAATCAACAAGCACTTATTAAGCATCTACTGTGTACCAAGCTCTGTGCTAGTCTCAGGGAATACAAAGACCAAAATGAAAGACTTCCTTTGATAGTACATAAGCACAGACATAAGCATACATATTCATAAACATAAATTCAAAGTTGTTTTGTTGTTCTTGTGGAAAGAAGGTAGCAACTGAACTGAGCTTTGAAAGGAAACTAGGGATTCTGAGAGGCAGAAGTAAAAAGGGTGTGCATTCTAAGAATGGGTAAGAGCAGTTGCAAAGGAATGGAGAGAGGAAATGGAATGTTTTTATGTGATGAACATCATTTTAGAAGAAAGAGTGAAGGTTAAAAAGGTGCTAGGTTGTGAAGGCTGTTAAATATCACATGGAAAAGTTCATATTCAATCCTAGAGATAAAAAGGAGCCACTGGATTTTATTAATCAGGGAAGTGACACGGCCAGCTCTTTGCTTTAAGAAAATTACTTTGACGTTTGTAGAGCAGATTGGTTTGGGGAAAGATTTGAGTCTGGGAGATCAATTAGCTTATTGTTGTTGTTCAGTCTTGTCGACTCTTTATAACCCCATTTGGCATTTTCTTGGCAAAAATGCAGGAGTGGTTTGCCATTTAATTTTCCAGCTAATTTTACAGATGAGGAAACTGAGGCAAACAGGGTTAAGTGACTTGCCCAGGGTCACACAGCTAGTTAACTGTCTGAGGCCATATTTGAATTTAGCAAGATAAATTTTCCTGACTCCAGGCTGGGTGTTCTATCTACTATGCCCCAAAGGACCTGAACTAAAGTGACCTTGTGAGTAGAAAGGTTACTTATGCAAGCCAGCAGATTGTTAAATGTTCAGCATGAGCATTTGTTCCTCAGAAATCCTTCAATTTCTACAAATCAAAATTTGATTTGTTGTTTTCTTGTTTGTCTACACTTAAGATTGTCTAAACACTTAAGAAAGTGTTTATAATGCAGATCGAACTTAAGTGTGAGTGAATACATTATTTCTGGCCCTCTCCCAGCCCAGTAGTCAAATATTTACTTGATCATCTCAGTATTGCTCTATAAACATTACATGAGCTCAGTAAAAGTTCAGTAGAAAACTCAGAAAATAAAGTCATCAGACTAGAGGTGTGGTGACTATAGGTTAGTAATAATAACAATAATTATTATTGTTATTGACATCAATATAGTGCTTTAAGGTTTGCAAAATGCTTTACATTCCATTATCTCATTTGAGCCCTCACAACATCCCAGGATCCAAGAGATGTCCTGGAGGTAGATTTCACAAGACTTGACAGCAAATTCATAATTTAGAGTGAGGAAGAACAGCAAATAGAGGGTGATTCCAAGATTGTGAAACTGGATGACTAGAAAGATGATGAGTCCCTTGACAGAAAAAGAAAAGTTAAGAAGGTAAATTTGAGGGAAAGATAATGATTTCAGTTTTGGATATATTGATTTTAATTTGCCTATGGGATATACAGGTGAAAATGTCCAGTAAGCAGCAGGTGATTCAGGATTGGAGTTCAAGGGAGAAACTAGAACTGCATATATGTCAGGGACACTACAGAGAAAATTAATGAAAGTGGAGAGGAAAATTCTAGGTGGAAAGGCTTTTAGAGGGGAAAAATGCCAGCGTTCCCCCTACTTCACTCCACCTGATCTCTACCAACCCATTGTCTATTGGAGGTTTCCATAAGGGCAGTCCCCTCTCTCCCTCCCCACCCCCATTCTTGGCTTCCTCTCCTTTCTTCTAGAACTACTGGGGAGTTGATCTGTCGCTCAGAAGTTGTTGGATCCCTGGCACTTTATTACACCATTTTTATCAGACTCCACATTCTGCTAAAGGCCTTTAGGCTAAAGGCCTAAAGAATGATGGCAACGACTCCAAAGACTGACCCCATAGACATTCTAGGCACTTTCCCTAGAATCTCTTTATTCGAGTAAATACCCCTCTGACTGCATATTGTGCCCTCCTCCTGCTAATTATATCCATTTGACCTTGTATACTCCAAATGGGGTAATTATCCTAATTTGAGTAATTACCCTGTTGATCTAGGCAATTTCTCTGCTCCCCAGGAAAGTCCCTACCCTCCCACACATGCAGTACTTCCTTCCAACCTTTACTTTCACCCCCTAATTCTCATACTACCCACACTCCTACATAAAACTCTCTTGCTACACCTGATTAGCTCCTCCCTCCCTTACCCGAGCAATTATACTCACTTCCAGTGAACTTTATCCCTCTTCCCTTTTGTCTGAATTACAATCCCACAAGCACAAGTAATATTCATCCTCTTTGAGGAGTAACTTCATCCACATTTTAGCAGTTACTTCACCTCGGGAAAGATGGTTAAGATCACTGGAACTGGAAAGAAGCATTTGTCTTGTGGTTTCTGAAGGTATCTCACTTTAAGGGAAATTTTGCCCAGTGAGGAGAGGAAGACAATAGAATCCTGAAGAGAATGAAAGTGTTAAGATTTTAGCTGTAGGAAAGAAAGCTATTGTGGGGTGGAAATACCTCTTTCTCAATTAATTCTGCCCAAAGATTTTCATACAGACATGCAGATGTGGTTTTCTGGTAAGGAAAAGAAATCATTGGACTGCTCTTGCTAATCTGCCCCACCCTTCCCTTTCTCTACACTCCTCCCTTCTGGTTTCTCTCCCTCTTTCCTAACACAACAGGCTAGGTTTGAAGGTCAAGACACACCTGGGGCCACACCTATAACTACTGGGGCCAAGCCAGCTATTCATTCAATGTCACTCAAGAGAAGAGGGAGGAGAAAAGACGGAGTTGGATTGATGGTGTGTTGAAGGAGGACTAGATCCCCTGATGACCCTATGCCCTTGTACCTGAGTAGACCTTAAAAACAGGATTAATCAGCATTAAAGATCCAAGAGAGGAAACGATTATGTTGGGTTGAAAGGCCAAGAGTTCTGAGCCTGCCAGTCCTATCCCCATATACCCAATCTCCTAACCACACCCCCACTCTTTACTCCACCCTTCATTCACTCCCCTCCAGCCCAGAGAAAAAGGAAGAGCCGAGAGAGGAAGAGAATTCCCTTGCAAACCAACTTCCACGCTCCACAAAGTCAGACAGAGAAGCTGACCGGAAGCCTGTGACTCCAGCCAAGTGATCAGGTTCAGGGTTGAGAAAAGGAAAACCGGGAGGCAGTAGGGTGGAGGGAAAGATGGGCTGAGGAGTGGGGACTGGGAGATTCTGGGAGACCAGGGCATCAGCTTTGTGCCATGGGGCAGGTGCCTGGGTGCACAGTGTAATTGGAGACAGAAGTTGAAACCCTTTTCCCACTGGGGTGAAAAAAGGCCCTTCTGAATCTCCCCTAACCTTTTGAAAAGCAAGCACAGGGCTGGTAGCCAGACACCTGAATCTTCTTCCTGTTTCTAAGGAAAGGGTGACCTTGAACAAGTGGATGCCTCGCCCAGGCTCCACTTGCTTCTTTCTGTCTCTCTGTGTATCTATATGACTGTTTGTTTGCATGAGTCTATGTCGACCTCAGTCTCTGAACCTTTTCTTCTCCTTTTGGTGTCGGCATGAGTTCCCCCTTTTCTCTCGGTTTCTAAGGCGCCGCCTCTTCCAAGGACGAGATGGTGGTAGGGCAAGCTCAGTAAAGAGGAAAAGTCGGGGGTGTCAGGCAATGTCACCCTTTCACACCCACGTCGTAGACTTCTCCAGTTACAAATTAAACTGGGCGTTCCAGGGGCTGGCAGGTATCCGGGTGTCGCACCTCCCATGAGCGCTGTCCGCTGTTTGGTGCTGAAATTGGGAAGAAGAGAGCCCCAGGATTGCTGTGGGCGTTGCTTAGACTAAGGGGCCCCTCCTTCTTCCCTCTCAATTGCCTGCTCCTAGATGACACAACACCCCCCCCTCACCCACCCATACAGCGGGGGTAGGGTAGAAGGCGGAGCCTCTGTGAAACCCTCCCCTAGGGACTGCGGCTCCAGCCTCTTCCCCCACCCTTTCTGTCCCGCATACCCTCTTAGCACACTGCGCTTCTCCACGCAGTTCGAGTGCCAACTCCTGCTCTGGCTCCAATTTTTACCCGGTCTCCAACCACTTCGCCTTCTGCTCCAGCATCGGTTCTGGCCCAGTTCCGGCCCCCTTTCAGCTCCAGATCTAGCTTTCGGCCTCTGGTTCGCTTTGGGCCCCTGCTCCAGCTCTAACTCCCAGATCAAGTATCCCACGCCATGGCTAGTTCCTTCTCCCGATTACTCTCTGCCCGCCCGGGACTCAGACTTCTGGCTGTGGCCGGCGCAGGGTCTCTGGCTGCTGGGTACCTGCTCCACCCCAACCCACTACGAGCCGCTGGCGAGCGAAGAAGGCTGTACCCACCCAGGTATCAGCGCCTGAGGAATAGGGTGCCCAGGGCGGTGATGGGAAGAGGATGGAGATTGGGAACCAGGGTTCGAATAGCGACTATATTAACCTTGACACTAGAGCAGGGAGGCTGTCACTGGAGGGTCAGGGATGGGAATGCTAGCTGGAGCCATGGGACACATTCCTGGAGACCTGTTAACAAATGCCCCGCCCCCAAAACCCCATACTGGCCTTGAGAGTTCTGGTCACTCTCAATCTGCTCAGGCAGGTTGAGGGCTCTCTGATCTATTCCTGCCATTTATAATCCTTTTGCCAAGGATCCTCTGCTATCTCATTCAGATTCCTCTCTTCCTTGAGTCCTACTTTTGTATTCCTGAGAGAATAGCACTGAGTAGGTTTGGGAAAACTGAGCTGTCTCGGGTGTGTGGCTAAGGGGTTGTATATGACTGACGTAGGCAGCACAGGCCAGAAGGATCCTGAAAGCGATTACTACAGCACCTCTCTCTCTCAAATCCCTCTCTTTTCCACACTGCACATTTTCCCATTGTGGGGGAAAAAAGACAACAGGAGGTCACACACATGAACTTAAGCTTCTGGGCAGATCTCAATAAGGCTATGTTTGGTTCCTATTCCCTAGTCTCCCCCATGGTCACTTCTGTACCCCTCCTCAGTGCAGAGTACCCTGACCTTCGAAAACATAACAACTGCATGGCTAGTCACCTGACTCCAGCTGTTTATGCCCGGCTCTGCGACAAGACCACGCCCAGAGGATGGACACTAGACCAGTGTATCCAGACTGGTGTGGACAATCCTGGTCATCCTTTCATCAAGACTGTGGGCATGGTAGCCGGAGATGAAGAGACCTATGAGGTGGGTGGACCCCTGAGCTTCTCCAAACGACCCTCACTCCTCTATCCCAGTGATCTACACCCCTTCCTCACAGAATCCTAGCTCCTTCTTTCCAGTGACTTCAAACCTTTCTCTCTGACCCTATATTCTCCTGTTCTCAAGTTTTCTGTCTCAATGAAATCAATTTAAGACTGAATTCTTGGAGGAAAACATAGGAAAATTTGTCTTTCTCCATTGGTCACCCTTCTCCCCATAATTTCTCTAGGTATTTGCTGAGCTTTTTGACCCCGTTATCCAAGAAAGACATAATGGCTATGATCCCCGAACAATGAAGCATACCACAGACTTGGATGCCAGCAAGGTGAATATTGAATACCCAAACTCAGATTCTAAGCCATTTAAATTGTGCCATTTTTGTCTCATGATCCCCCTGAATTTTTGGTGTTCAATTCCTTTCACTTTTCTGATTTCTTGACCTCCACAACCTCACACGAGAATTTGGTCTCTGGATCCTCATCTTGATGTGAGGAATGAAGCATCTTAAAGGAAAGAAAATTTAGGAAGAACAAGATAGATCCTGTAGTAGAGTTAACCATGCCACATAAAGGGATGTTTCAAAGGAATTTCCATATTTGGAGAAATGACTTACGGGGTGTCCTATATGCATCTTACTTCCTCATGCATATATAGGAAAGAGCAGCTAGGATGCCCCTAGTCCCTAGAATTTCTCCCCCCACCCCCACCCCCAGGACCTCCTAGGTCCACCTAATATATCATGCTTTGGTGTCCTTAACTAATTTTCCAAATCCCCTAGATCCGGGCTGGCCACTTTGATGAGAGGTACGTGTTATCCTCAAGAGTCCGGACTGGCCGAAGCATCCGGGGACTCAGTCTACCCCCTGCGTGTACGAGGGCTGAGCGACGGGAGGTGGAACGAGTTGTAGTGGATGCACTGAGTGGCCTTCAGGGTGACCTGGCTGGACGATATTACCGGCTCAGTGAGATGACTGAGGCTGAGCAACAGCAGCTTATTGATGTGAGGGGCCCTATGAAGGAGTACTGGGAATGGGGAGGGGATGAGAAACAAGTGTTGGGAGAGGCTGAATGAGATCTGACTGATGGAGCTGGGACAGGCCCAGAGGCTAAAGTGATGGAGGACCTGCAAAGATGTTTGTTTATACCATGTCCCTTAACTCCCCCCCAGGACCACTTCCTATTTGACAAGCCTGTATCTCCCTTGCTGACCGCAGCAGGAATGGCCCGAGACTGGCCAGATGCTCGAGGAATCTGGTATGGAATGTGCACTTTTTCTTCTTCAATCCTTTGCCTTCTATTCTTACATTTTTCCATGACCCTCAACCCTCACCCTGTTCCTGCCTCCTGATCCTATACCTCCACTCCCTCAGGCACAACAATGAAAAAAGCTTCTTGATCTGGGTGAATGAGGAAGATCACACACGGGTCATCTCAATGGAAAAGGGTGGCAACATGAAAAGAGTGTTCGAGAGATTCTGCCGGGGGCTCAAGGAGGTTGGAGGGGAGTGGGTGGAGGTATTGCTTGGGAGGGTAAATGGGAAACAGAAGACAAAGATATGAAGGGAAGTATGTGGGGACTTTGGGAGATCAGTGGTGGGAAGGAGTGAATGATCTGGATTAGAATTTTTCAGGACAAGGGAAACCCACAATTCTATACAGGGAAAGGGGATGAGTGTGTTCATGATTATAGTAGGAAATACTCCATCTTTCTAGTTCTAACACAAGGCTAGCCTAGCTTCTGGACCCTTTTATTTCTTTATGATGGTTCCATGTCTATGGCCTTAGCAAATGAGTGGCATGGCTGAGGTTCCAATTGGCTAAGTGGCCACTGAAATCATTCTAGGAGTGTAGGAAAGTCTTCAAAGTTCTAGAGAAGGAAGAAGTCACCAGTTCTATTTGGAACTGAGTTCCCATGTTAAGTCCTAACTTAATTATCCCCTCTATTCCAAATTCTATCTGCAAATTTCTACATATCTAATTCTAGCTAAGAGTTTCAGGAGGAGAGAGGTTTCTGTGTTTCAGTTTCTAGCACATATGAGGGAATATTCCCAAGGCATTGGGAAAATTTATTGTTTCTGTAGTTCTGTTAGTAATCTTCATGTCAATGAGTTAGGGACCTTGCCTCTCTGCTTCTAACTGAAGGAAATAGTTGTAACTATGACAGTAAGTGAGGGGTCTCCTCCCATCCTAGGTTCTAGTCCCTAAGATATCTTTATCTTTAAGGTTCTAGCTAGAGAAAGTGTTCTTATTTTCCTAATTCTAACAAGAGATTTCTGAATCCATTATTCTGCCTAAAAGAGGATTCATGTGCCCATGATGTTAACTAAGAGGGTCTATGTGTCTCAGGTGGAACGTCTAATTCAAGAACGTGGCTGGGAGTTCATGTGGAATGAACGTTTGGGTTACATCCTGACTTGCCCTTCTAATTTGGGAACTGGACTTCGAGCAGGCGTGCATGTCAAACTGCCTCTGTTAAGCAAGGTAAAAGAGCTGAGGGAGGGGAAGAGTGAAATAGTATTGGGGTAGGCACATGTTGGTGCCAAAGGGAAAGTGGGGGGATAATGGGAGAATTCTGAGTAAGGAGAAGAGTTCTAACAGAACACTCAGCTCCAAGCTCTGGAGTACCTGCCTCCCTTTTTCCTGACTCTGTCTCCCATGCTCTGTTTCCCTTCTAGGACAGCCGATTCCCCAAGATCTTAGAGAACCTAAGGCTACAAAAACGTGGAACTGGTGGGGTGGACACAGCAGCCACAGGCAGCACCTTTGACATTTCCAACTTGGATCGGCTTGGCAAATCAGAGGTGAGAACCCATAGGAGGGGATTTGGGTGTTAAGGGACAAGGGTTAAGAGTGGTGGATCCTAGGAATGCTAGAAGGATAAGTCCAAATGAAATCCAAGAAGATGGTGCAAATCTGAGATGAAACTTGGGGTCAGGGAAGTCATTGGGAATGAAATGTTGGGGGCTGGTTAGTAGGAGGGAGGTGAAAATCAGGAAAGAAGCTCCAGGGAGTGTGGAAGACAAGATCTGAGAACCAAAACCAGTTAATGCCTTCCAGGTGGAGCTGGTGCAGCTTGTCATTGATGGAGTCAACTACCTGATTGACTGTGAGCGGCGGCTAGAGAGAGGACAGGACATTCGTGTGCCTGCACCCATTGTCAACACCAAGAATTAGCTTTCCAGCCACCCCTAGACCTTCCCAAGCTCTCGGCCAATTACTCAGCTAATACCCTCTCCTGCCAAATCTGAATCTGACCCTTGACCCAGTAAAACCCACTTGTTATGCTCTAGTTGTCTGTAATTTCTGACGCTATATAGAGTGACAGGAAATTAATCCCAGAAAAAAGAAAAGAGGAAAAGGTCTGAAAGAGGTAGTAAATTGATAGAGATGGACACAAGATCTTGGGGGCTAGGCCATGCTAAACCTCAAGTAGATGGGAAGTAGCAGCATTTTCCTTTTTTAGCCCTTGTTATATATTACAAATATAAATAACAACTAGGTACGCTTCCATTTATACTTTACTAAACATGACCATAGGCCCTTCTTCCATCAGCCTCCCTTCTTGGCTACCCAGACCCTCAGCTTCAAGGTAAGCAGCCAAGTAGGAAGATAATCAGTGCTGGGGTCCAGAAAGAAACTGTCTGTTCCTGGAGGCCCCAAGCTGTGTTACGCCCTGCAGAGGGATAGGGGGAAAAAAAAAAGATTGATTTCTACTTCTCAGAGATATATTTGGAATCCAGCTCCTCTGTCTATGGACCCTTCACCCCAGGTACTACCTAGACTAGTAGCATGAGGACAAAGAATCACATATCACAGGAGAATAGGGGTCAGATCCTGGGAGTCAAGAACAGGCTATGGAGATAGGGAAATCAAATTGTGAAACTGGTCACTCACCCAACTGTTCTAGGTTCTCCTTTCCCTCATACTGAGCCCAAATGACTGCTTGACGCTGCTCAGGGCTCAGGAAGGCCATTTGCTCAGGTGTGATAGCCAGAGCCTGAGCACTGGTGAAGCCAGAAAGCTGGACAGGGCTGAATACCACCTGAGGGTGTTCAGTGAATCCATGTTATTCTCCCAACTCTCTTCATGCCCACTTCAGACCCTACTTTCCTGTACCCAATCCCACTGTTGGTACTCACAGCAAACTTGGGTGCTGGCATGACAGCAATGGCTAGTGGCGTGAGGCCCCTGATCTGTCCTCGAAGCAGCGCTGAGAGTGCCAGGTCTGGGAGCCCAGCTAGAGAGCCAGTTGGAAGTGAGGCACTTAGGTCCTACCATAGTAGGACTGTGCCCATTAATCTTCTATTCACAGACTCCCCCCAAGTCATCCCCAAGTCTTTCACCTAGACCCCTTACTCCATTCTCCACCTTGAGAATCCCATCAGTCTCTTAGAAAGGTATCTTCCCCCACCACTCAAACCAGAGACTCTTTGCCCATTACTTTTGCCCTCCCCTACCTCCAACACATCCTGTCTTCCTACCTGCAACTGAGCCAACTTCAGTAAAGATCTCAGGCCCCCAATTACTGACTAGCCCAAAGCCTCCAGGCAACACAAGCAGGTGAGCCAGGGCCTCTAGCTGTTCCTCAGAGCACTGGAGGGGCAGGGAGCCCAGAAAGAGAACGGCCTTGCTGTGGACAATTGAAACCAGGGCGTGGTCATAGGGCAGAAAGAGGCTATTTTGACAAGTGAAATCTAGCCTCTGAACTGAGATTTTCTCCATTTGCCCACACTTTCATAGGGACTTCTTTTTAATGACCTTTACCAATGAGCCCACCCTTCCCCTCATTGTCCACACCACAAAGGACCTGAACTCCCGACTGTTGATATGCTGTATCTCATCTGGCCGAAGACCACAGATTGCATGGCCAAGGGCAGTTAGGTGAATAAAATCCAGGTTTCTCACATGTCGGCCACTCTGACGTAAGAAGGTGGAGACAATGGCTTGGAGCTGGAAAGTACAGGGGACATGGGAACCAAGGGGGAGATAATAGAGCAGAAGGTGTCATGGTCATAGAAGTTTAATACTGAATGGGTCCTTTAAAAAATTATCCAGTTTTAAGAAGATAGGTAGGTGCCATATAAGTGAGATCCATTTCAGCTCTGTGATTCTCTGTACAGCCATTGAGGTCACAGAGCCTCAAGGGAAGGCTGAGTCTCCAGGGTTGAGGTCTGAGGGCACATGAGAAGTTGAAGGGAATATAAGGAGTAGTCGAAGGAGACCTTGTAGCACAGAGAACATGGCATCATAGGGTTGTAGGGATAATGTGAGAATTCAAAAGAGAAGGTTTAGGGTGATTGGCAAACAGAAATCTAAGCGCTTGGACACACCTTAGAGACTGAGACCTTTGAGTCCTTCAGAAGTAGTCACCTGATTTTTGCTCCAGCCTTCCAACTGTCCCAAGGCTCCCAGCACTGCCCAGTCAATCAGAATCACTTCCTGGAGCTCACGCTCTCCTAGCCCTATTAACAGCTGACCCAGCTGGAGGATCTGCTCTGGATGAAATCCTTGAGGGGGACCCCACATCTAGGAGGAAAGGAGTTTGAGACTCAGGTTCCCTCTGGGGAAGCATAGCAAACTCTATTCAAGAAGGGGTTCTGTCTGGCCCCTTTTTCCATCCCCTTTTCCCTCTTCATTCTCAAACATTGTTGTATTCACATTTCTGTACTGATCATTCCCATTGGCTACTATATACCCCCAGCCCTCTGCTTGACCTCTTTCGCCTTGCCCATCGCTGCTCGTAATTCCTCAGGCCCAAGACCATGGTCTTTTGCAAATAATCCCAGGCAGTCTTCGAAGTCAGGGAGCCCCATTTCTGCAATCTGTGTTGCTGACCAAGCTGCTGGGAATGTCCCCCGAACATCTGCGCAGGTGGGCACAGGATCTGAGGGACAAGTGAGGGCCAGAGAGAGGCAATGTAGGACTAAAAGCCTGGGGCTCCTCTGAAAGCAATAATCTCTACATTTTTTTTTGATGAGGCAATAGGGGTTAAGTGACTTGCCCAGGGTCACACAGCTAGTAAGTGTTATGTGTCTGAGGCCATATTTGAACTCAGGTCTTCCTGACTCCAGGGTGCTCTATCCACTGCACCACCTAGCTGCCCCCCATTCCTACATTTTTTATGAGTGGAGAAGGACATTGTAGTCTGCCATTTTGATGGTTGCCATATATGGATCAGAGACAATGATTCAATAAAACTGAATGGGGAGAGGGAAGGTGGGGCAAAAGGCATTGGGGAGAGGTGAGATGTGGCAGAAGGCTGAGCTAAGAGAGTCCAGGGAGCAGCAGAATGGTTATGGAGAGTTATGGAATCACACCATGGTAAGAGCTGGAGAAGACTTTAAATCTCCTATTTACAAGTAAAGCCTGAGTCCCCAAAAGATGAAGTTACTTGCTCAAAGTCATAAAGCAAGTTAGTGGTTAGAATTAAAATTTGTCTGCACTCCCTATGCACCCGTCTTATTGTACCACATCGGAAGTCTAAGAAGTTGGGGGGCTCTCACCTGGTTCATCTTCAGCTTCTGCCTGGACAACCCCAGTCACTAGTGCTGCTTTTCTGAGGCCCAGCTCTGGAACCCCACACAGTTGGCCTGTCCTGCTCTGCTCCCAGCTCTGCTGCCTCTCTAGAAGTCTCTCTAGGGTCTCAGGCCCCAAGGCCTCCTGGTTACAGAAGTTGGAAAACATGGAGGCAGCCAAAGCCAGATGTCTCAGTTCTAACCCCTAAAGCCTTTTCCCTCTCTATGACCCTCCTCATACATGCCTAATGCCTCTCTCCTTTTTCTCCTCTTGCTCTATAATTCTTCATGACCCACTAAGTTATGTGTCAATTATCTACTTTTTAGTAGATGGAATTCCATGCCCTCCCCTGTTCCCTCTCTCCACCTCACCCTGGGCAGTAGGAGAATGGCCTGAGAGGATAAAGTCAACACTAGGCGTCCAGCCTGCTCCACTTCATCTCGGCTCCAGAGTTCTGGCCGCCTGGGGGATTTGTGGTGAAGTCAGTTCCAGCACCCTGGAGTGAGGCACTAGAGAAAGGCTGACTAACGAAAGGGCAGAAGAGGGGATTTACGTCAAGACAAAAACCAGGAACCTGGGGGAAGGAGAACTGGAGAAGACTAGGAGCTGAGAAGCAGTATTATAAGTGAGGACTTAGAAGTTGGGTAGAGTTAGGATTCAAGGATTCTGAGCAGGTAAATGGAGTTCTGGACTCCTGAAGATCCATACCCAAATGCAGACTCACGCAACAGCAAGCATCCCAACTCTGTGGCAAATGGTTCTCCCAGGCAGAAGTTCTGCAGCCGATTGAGGTGGGCCAGCAGAGTCTGTGGAAGGATTCGGCCCACGCTCTCTGTCCCCAGGGATCCAACCAGAGGACCCAAAGCCTCCAGCACTTCCCCTGAGAGTGGAGTGTCCTGTGGAGCCTGAGGGAAGCAGCAAGCCCAGAGCACTTTGACCTCTGTCTCAGAATACCATAATTACTAACCAACGTTTCCAAACCTCTGACCTTTCCTAACCCTGTGATTCTGTGATTCTCCATTCCACTCTGGCCCTCAAGAGTTCAGCTAAGAAAAGCTAGGCCTGGGAGACTGGGAGGTATTTTCTGAGATTCTTCTGCATCTGGACTCTAAAGGGATAGAACCTGGGGGCAAGTGAGGTCTAGATTTGTGGGTAGGCCTAGAAAATAGTCTAGGGAGGCCCTAGGAAAGAGTCTAATGCCTAAGGGGATCCAAGATCCTGAAGGATAAGGAAAGCTCAGGTAGTTCAGGGGTGCAACGTCTTTTAAGGTATGAGAGGGGAAGGCCCTTACCAGGCTGCGTAGTGCCCTCTCTGCCAGGGCTTCTCGTCGGAGCGGGGGCAGCGCCAGGAATTGCTCAGGGTCACCCCGTACTAGCTCCAGTATCAAGAGAATGGAATCATTGGACAGCCTGTCAATCAGCTGGACTCTACAAGAGTTATGTATCAGGGGTATTCTGGTAACTAAGTCCAGTCAGAAAGTGACATCAGATAACCCCACAGTCCCAAGACAGCAAAGTATCCCTGAATAGGCAGTGACATCAGATAGGCCACAGCCACAGTGTGATACCAGCAGAACCCCTTAACCCTGTTTCTGAATAGGAAATGAAATTAAATATCTCTGACTGTATTTCCCAAGATTGTACTTGAAGTGAGAAGAGAATGAAAGTGGGATGGTTTCAGGTCCTCCAAAAAGAAAATGGCATAGAGACATCCCTCCAGTTCGATCCACTTGATGCTGGCCCCAAAAGACTGTGACATAATAGAATGTACCAAACAGGAAGGGATGATAATGGAATCTATCATTTTTATAACACTTCGCAATTTTTCAAGATACTTCCATGTCCATTATCTAATTTGATCTTCACAACAATACTCTGAGGTAAGCAAGACAAAAATTAATAGTCCCATTTTACAAATTACAAAACTGGAGCCATGAGAGGTTGTCCAAAGCCACAGCACAAGGGGAAAGACAAACCTAGGAACCAGATCTTCTGACATTTTCCCATTCTGCTAAAAAATTGGGGGAGGGCACAGTCTCTCAGACAGGAAGTGAGATCATATATCTTTGTGTGAAAATGACATTGGAAGTAGTCCTATTTCTCTGATATAGGAAATAACATTATCAAAGAGAACCAGAGATGACAACTTTGAAATTGGGCCAGACAGTACAGTTAGTTATAGTGGAAAAGACTGAAGTCTCTGGAGAGGCTGGAGAAATGTTCAAGAATATGACAGTAGAATTTAATTTTTATCACTGCTTCATTCCTAGGGAAGCCCTGAGATCATCCCCACTCACTTCCCCAAAACCTCCAGCATCACAGTTCAGATAAGTGTTGCAGTGGAATTAAGCGTGAAGATAGGCATAAAGGCAACATATTCCTTTACTCTTCCCACTGCTGGGTGCACTTTTGGGTTGCCAACCAAGAGAAGTAGTCATTTTAGCCAGAATCCTAATCCTTACCTACTGATCCAGAAGTAATCTGAGTGACCCGATCCAATCCAACCCATTCTGCCCAACAAGCACTTATCAAACACTATGAAACTCACTATGATCCAAGACAGGAAAAAACCACTTTTGACAGCATGACATAATGGCAAAATTCCCATCTTCCCCACACTAGGGCTCCTGGAACTTGAGCTATAACCTTCACTCCATGACATTGCCTCCCAGTACCTACGGTAATTGGAAGAGTAGCTCCTGCTGCAGACCATTCAGGTCTGATCCCAGGCCTCCTAGCTCCAGCTCAGACATTCCCATTCTCCTCTGGAGTTCCTCCCAAATACAGGCCCTCTGTGGGGGGTGGGGTGGATAAGGAAGTGTTTTCAGGAGTCTGAATTGGATATCTGATACCAATACTGTGCCCTCCTCCCCTCAGTGTCTGGTATTGCTGTTTTCCCAATAATGCATGTAGTAAAGCCTCTCACCAGGCTCCCTCGAACCCCTCCGGGAAGCTGATAGACCAAGACCACCACTTTGAGGAAATCTGTCCTCCAGCTGAACTGTTGCAGCCACTCACAAGTCATGCCTCCTGCCAGGGTGCCCAAAGATCTGAGGGAAAAAAACTTGGGAGAAGCAATCAAGCCAGACAACAGCCTGCCACTTACCCCCCCATACCCCCAAGCTTGACACCTATAATGCTGTCAAAATTGTGTGTGTATGTTTGTATAAATGTATGTCCAGTATCTTTGCCAAGAAAACCCCAAATGGGGTCATGAAGAGGTGGATATGACTGAAACAACTCAACAACATAAATGTATGTATATATATTTGTAGGGAAAGGTAGTCTACCAGTCTTAGATGATTTTGGCTAGAGTCCCTAGACACATCTTGACTAGATCAGACATGAGATCGCCAAGCCTATATAAATGTCTCTTTAGCCCTGCAGGGGTCAGGGTGGAAACATCATGCACTGTACAAGGAGAACAGAAGGAAGAAGGCTGCCTCAACTGGGGCAGGGTAACAGAAGAGAAACTCCCTGCTTCTGACACAAGACACTCACTGCAAGTTTCTTAGGGTCAGGTTAGTGGTCATTGACATCTTCTTCCAGAGAAACTGGGCCTGCAAAGGAAGAGGGGCCTCTGTCTGTTAGAGCACCGACCAAAGACTCAAGTTACCCGGAGTCCATTTCATTCACTTCCATAAGGGCCAGAACTATGGCTAGCTCCCACCTTCCCAGAGTTTCTACCTCTTCCCACATACTTTCTCCCCAGGGAAAGAAATGAAGAAATGGAGAAGGGGTGGGGTGAAGAGCCAGTATGGGAGGACTTATAGGTGTCAAGTTAGACTGAGTGTTGAAATGAGAGAGAGAGGGAAGAGGAAAGTGCCAACCAGGGAGTGTTACCTGCTGTTCAGACCAGGGCAGCTCACGATAGGGACTCAGATTGGCCAGAAGAACTGGGGTGTCCAATTGTAGTAGCTTTAGGGGCAGCAAGGGAAGTAAACACGCTGGCCAGATAAGAGAGCCTGGCTGGTGGGGTTGGGGCAGAATTGAGAGGGGTAATGTTTAGCCCTTAGAAAAGAAAAAGGAACCATGGCAGTTGGGGGAAAGGGAAGAGGAGGAGGAGTCACAGTGTGGTCCATTTGGACAGGGGTGGGGATGGAAATATTTCCCTACCATTTCAGGATTTCTCATTGTTGGGCCATTCCACTCCATTCTGTAACTCGTAAGATAAACCTTGGGAGTCCTTAGGTTCCTACCCAACCAGGTGCTCAGACACATGAAGCAACTCATGAGACACACCTGGGCCACACTTCCTGAACTTGGACCAGCTCCTCTGGAACCCCTCCCACAGGATGAATAAAATCTGTTGCAGGTTAGGGCAGGGAGTAAAACAGGTCTGACTTCTTGGAGACCATTGGAGTAGGGAAAGTCTCTCAAGTCAGCAACAGATAAATGAAACTGCCCTGAGACCTGTGGAGCTAGAGTGGAGTGAGAAAACTTCAGACATACCTGGTCAGCAGGGCACACAGTTGGATCTGCACCAATTGGTCCCGTGCTTTGAACTCCATCTTTCACCTGAGTGAAAATTGCTGGCGCTGTTTTTGTAACTCCGTCATTTTGGGGTGCCACGTTCACAAGAAGGGCAGAGGACAGAGCTAGCTGCATTTGCTACCCTCCCAATCATTAGTATTATTTATCCCCGCTTCTTCTTCCTCCTTCCATCCACTCACATACCCGAAAAGCCTGCAACAATGCTGCTTTCTGAGCTGATGAAAGCCTAGACAGCGTGGGTGACAAGCAGGGACAGGCTGCAGCCAGAACCTCTGTGGGGATGACTCTGAGGGACTGTGGGCTAAGGCCTGGCAGCAGAGGATGAAGAGCACAGAGCTCTTCCACTGACAGCTGAGGAGAGACCAGTACAGGAGAGCTGAGGAAGAGGAGAGGCCGAAGGGCTGAGTGTGATGAGTGTGGCAGTGGGGAACAGGGTCAGTGATCTGCCAGGGAGCTGTTTGGAGAGAAGATCTGCTACTTACATCTTCTTGTGGGAGGAGGCGTTCAAGCATCAGGGTAGCCTGAAGTGAGGAAGGAGAAAAGGAACAAAGAACCAGCTCAGACCCAAGCCCCTAAAGCAAGGGCTCCTAACAATGTATGTGAACTTGTTGGGGGGTTTTAATATATTTTGATAATTGTATTTCAGTATAATTGGGTTCCTTGATAATCCTGTGCATTTTAAAAACATTAATCGGGGGGGGTCTATAGATTTCACCAGATTTGGTCCATGTCACACAAAAAGATTAAGAACCCCTCTCTTAAAACCTCCTGGCCCTAACCTTAGACTCCCTCTACTCAGTGCTTCATTATTTCTGTCAGTCTGACTCATAGCCTACTCACATCACAGGGTAAGGCACGGTGCCAATAGGGGAAGATTTCTTTGGGGAATAGGAGCAAAGAAGGCTTCTTAGGGGATCAGGGATGTTCTTACCTGGCCAAGTGTGAGGTCGGTTCTTTGCAAGGCAGGGAGAATGGTTCTGAGTTGGGGGTCTGAGAGCTCCTCCAGGAAGTTGAGTCCAAGCTGAGAGAAGAGAGGGCCCCAGGCCTGCAGCTCCTGGGGACTCAACTCTGCCCCCCGAGTTGAACGAAGCACCCGTAGCAACTCGTGTGCCACCTGCACAACGTAAGGATTGTAAGCAGGAAATGGGAGCCAGGCACCTGGATACCAGCTTCTTAACTTCATCTTCAGTCATTTGGGGGTGTTTAGACCCTGGCCTGGGACCAAAATGTGGAGGGTTAAGGAGAAAAAGGAGAAGGAGGAGGGACAGGAAAGGTGTGGTCCAAGGTGGGATGAAGTGGTGTTGGTAGTAGTGGAAGTATTATAAACCAGAGGGAGACAGGGCTAGGAAGAGGTAGTAGCAAGGGGGCCATACATGGGGACAAGAAGGGAGGGAGGAGCCTTGCACCACCCCACAAAGGCCTAGTTGGGTCAGATGAGTAAGAATTATCTACATGGGCACAGCAAGGGAGCCCTGGAGCTAGGGTTCTTCTGTCAAGTGGCTCACCCGTCCTTCAGGGCTGAGGGTTCCATTGGCTACACATTCAAGCAGTCCTCGCTCTACTGACCCCGTGGGGTCACTCAAGGGCACAAGACTGTGAAGTTCCTCAGTACTTAGGAAGCAGGCAAGGGACCCTAACCTGAGAAATCACAGAGCCAGTTTCTATGTGGGTACTGACATGGGCATGAAGCAAGGAATCTTATAGAAGATACGAAGCAGGGCCCTATGTTGGCATTATAGGCACTGAAATAGAGCATGCAGGTACTCTCTGGTACCAAGCCTGGCCTTGTATGGGCATCACTTGAGTTTTATGTTATTTGAGGGCCCTTCTCTCTTCTTCCCCAGATTCCAACAATTTCATTTTAGCCCTTTCTTGCTCCACTGGCTCTGCCAGTGGCTAGTCCTGTTTCTCCTTTTCTGGAAATTAAATGTTTGATTAGAAACTTAATATTAAGCATCAGTACAAACAACTAAACTTGCCTAGTACTTATTTACATTTAAATCAATAAATTTCAGCACCTAAAGTATCATAACATTTTTTCATTCCCTCCCTCTAAATCCCCATAAGGATTCTTTCTCCATCCATTCTCATTCACTTTTCCTCTTATGATCTCAGTCTTTTTCTTCACTTTTCATTATTTCATAAAGTTCTTTCTAAATGTTTAAAATTCCTTACACTTATCAATCTCAATGAATTATGATGGTTCATCATAATATGTACCACATTTTATCAAGCCACTCCACTATGATTGTATGGTATATGTATGCTCCTCTATCTGAGCAACAGATTTTATTCATCCTTTGGGAGGGGTTCCAGAATCTTGGAGCTGGTCCAAGTTCAAGAAGGGTGGCCCAGGTGTGTCTCATGAGTTGCTTCATGTGTCTGAGCACCTGGTTGGGTAGGAACCTAAGGACTCCCAAGGTCTATCTTATGAGTTACAGAATGGAGTGGAATGGCCCAGCAATGAGAAAATGCTTTCCTTTTTTTTTTTCTAAATTATGTAATGCTGCTCTGAAAATCTTTGAATACATCTTTTGTTTATTTTCAGATGGCATTTTCAGGGAATATTCCTAACAATTGAATTATTGGGTTGAAAGTTCTGATTAGTTGTGTATTTTTTTATTGTGTTTTGCCAGGTTGCTCTCCAAAAAGGTTTCACAAATTTGAAATTCCAGTTGGTACTGTTCCTTTCTAGCTCTGCCTACATAGACCTTATCCTTTAACTCCATGACCACTCACCTTCGAACCTGTTCTTCACCATCTGGGACACTCTGGTTCACTAAACTACGTAGTACATGCCGGGCCTGTCCTGGTCCCAGCCCTGCTGCTGGCCAGCTGTCCTCCAGAGCCTGGATCTAAAATGGAGAGGTTTGATTCATTGTTTGATCAAGTGGGTCTTGGTGGGAAACACTGTAGGGGTCACAATTGGGCCTAACCTTGTTCCAACATGTTGCAAGAAAGCCCTCTTTCAGCCTAAAGGTCATGACTCTTGGGGAGGGAGGGAGAAAGGAAAGAGAGAACACAGACCTAACTAATCCTGACCACTAGTTCCCATCTCGTTCAACAGGGGCAGGGCAGGGCTGGGCTAGAAACCAGTCAAGGTCAATGATCAAGGTCAAGAGAAGAAACTTTTTCGGATTCCTAGGAAGAACTGTCAGTACCTGGTGGGGACTAAGTTGCAGGAAGTGCTCCAAAGGGAGGTGGGGCAGCAAGGGTAACGCAGCCCACAGCAGCTCCTGAGACCAGGCAGGCACTTCCCCAAACAGCTCAGGTGCCAGCAGCAGCTGGGCCAGGGCTTCCTTTTGCTCAGGTCTCATGGCTGGACTACGATCACGGATGGTGGCCAGCCTTGGGGAGGGAGATGAGTATCACCCCCCAGCCCTGTTCCAGACCCCCAGTTTTGACAGCAGTACTCAACTGAGAGAGGCTACCCAGGGTTTCTCTTGGCCTGCTTGGCCATGTGGTAAAGTGAAAAGTGTGCTGGATTAGAAGTCAGAGGACCTATGTTAAAATTTGTGCTCTGGTACTCGCTACCTGTGTGACCACAGGCAAATTACTACCTCTCTCAATCTCATTTCCTCATTTGTAAATGAGGGGGTTGGATTTAATGGCCTCTAAGGTCTCTTCCAGCTCTAAATCTGGGATCCAATGAGTGAATGCTGGGTTGAAACCTCAGAATTGGGTGGGAAGCAAGTAGAGAAGTGGACAAGACCATGGTGAGAAGCAGGGGGAGAACGATGAGAACAGGGAATGAATACGGAGTGAGACCTTGGTGAGATAGTGTTAGGTCCAGGGCAAGGGTGGTAGTGGAGAAAGAAGAAGGGCCAGGGAAGAGGGCAGCTCACAGAAAAAGCAAGTATCTCACACGCTGTCATTGGCCAACAAGGAAGGTGGGAAGCGAAGCAGATCATTTACGGCCAGGAAAGGGATGAGTGGTGACAGATCAATAAAGAGCTGAGGTGTGAGTCGAGGGAATCGCTGGAGCAAGAGAGCAGTCAGTCGGCCAAGGGCTCGCTCCTCTGATGGGGGCACCTGACAGAGACATAATAATGATCAGTGATTTCATCCTGACCATGCTCCTTTTCCCACTGAGTAAGACCCTCCCAAGTCATCCATGCCTGTCCCTGTGCACAGATCTCTAATCCAAAGCAGACCTTGCTTCTATTCTCTAGGTTCCCCCTTACATCTCAATCTGGACCAATGACACCCTTGGCTTCCCACCTTTAACTGGGCCCATGAGTGATGGATGAGTGCCAAGAAACCCTGAGCTGCCTCACTCTCTGCTGATAATACCAGTTGCTGGAGATTCTCTGGGGGCATGCGCAGGTACTCCTGGAAGATGGCAGAGGGAGGAGAAGGTAGCAAGGTAAGAACAATGGGTGGTGACATTGCGGTGAGCATACTCTCAAAGCCTTGACAGGGACCTGAGGGTCCCCTGACTCGTGAAATCCAAGTTTTATGGGCCACAATCTCCCTCCCCTGTTCTGCCCCAACCTGGACCATTACCTGAACAAGGATCTGTAGGACCCAAGCATTCTTCTCCCTCTGAAGCAATTCCCATAGTAAAGGCTGCCATTGGGAAAGAAAATACATCAAGAAGAGGCAACCCTCCTCACCAGCCAGTTCCATAGATTCCCCAGGTACTCTACCGACTTTGGAATTGGCCTTAATCCCATGCTACTTCATGTTATTGTTTATAATTGCAGGTGTGGGTTGTCTCTTCAACTGCTCTGTTATATGGTAAGCTCCTTGTGGGTAGGGACCATATTTATTTCTGCATCCCTTTGATCAATGAGTATAATACTGGCTAGATGTAATTGACAGTAAATATTTATAATTTAATTGATTGCTGCCAACCAAACCACCTCCACTTGCCATCACCAGGGGTTTAATAAGTAGGGTGATATAAATCACAAAATTTTGAAATTGAGGGGATTTTTTATGTCATCCAGTATAATGCCTTCATTTTATAGATGAGAAAACTGGAGAAAATAAATTGGTATGGGGGAAGCTAGGTGGCACAGTGGGTAGAGCACCAGCCCTTAAGTCAGGAGGACCTGAGTTCAAATCTGGCCTCAGACCAAACACTTGGCACTTACTAGCTGTGTGACCCTGGGCAAGTCACTTAACCCCAATTGCCTAAAATAAACAAATGAATGAATGAATGAATAAGCAAACAAACAAATAAATAAATGAGTGAGCATGTAAATAAATAATTAAATGAATGAACAGATGAATGAGTAAATAAACAAACAAACAAACAAATAAATAAATGAAGTGGCATGCCCAAGGTCAGAAAGATGATTATTGGCAGAGTTGAGCCTAGAACAAAGGTTTTTTGGCTGATTCTAGCCATTCTACCTTGAGGTTTGATTTATTCATTTTTCATTCATTTCTTTAATGAGTTATTGAATGCCCTGCATGTGAAAAGCATGGTACTAGACTCTGTAAGTGATATGATAAATAAGATATGATGCCTGTCCTCAGGAGCTTATAGTCTAGTAAGTGAGATAAAACATATATATGGTTAGGACACAAAATATGGTGAAATAAGTACATAAGACACAAATAAAGTGCTACGAAAGTTCACAGATCAGATTGATCACTTATGGCTTGGTGATAAGGAAGGCTTCATGGAGAAAGTGGCATTTGAGGTATCATTTCATAATTCTCGGACATCTAGAAGCCATTTAGGAGAATTAATTAACCTATGATTTCACTGAAATAAGGAACTTCTTAGTGAAGAAATTTCCTTTATTAATGGAGGTATGCACCTTCTCTGTAAATTACAGTCTTAGAGAATTACCTAGAACTAAGAGAGTGAATGTTGTGAGTGTGAGAAGGTGAGAATTGCCTGGAATGCTTAAATGCTTTGCCTGAAGTCACACAGCCAGTATGTGTCAAAGGTGTGTGTCCGGATCTTTCCGGTTTAAAGACCAGAAATCATTTTAGATACTTTTTGATATTCTCACTTCAAACACTACCCTAGCTCCACAGACCTTTCTAGGCCCCCAATTCCCTTCACCTTCAACCCCAAAGACCAAACCCATCTCTCCACCCTACCTTATGAAAGAAGAAAAGTATAAGGGGGGGGAGGGTAGCAGTGGCAAAAAGAATCCTCTTTCAGTGCCCCAGCAGGTTCCCAACTCCTCTGACAAGTCATAGCACTCACACTGTAGCAAGCCAGTAGCTTCCTCTTGCCAAGATCCTGGATGGGGCCATCAGGGGGGCCAGGACCAGGTGGGGTCAACCTCTGCTCCTGCTTCAGATATTCACCCACTGACCGTAGCATGCTACTCCGGCCCCAAGGGTTGAAGGAGTCCCAGAAGGAGCAGTTGTCAGGAAGACTGGAGAGTAGCAGAGCCTGGCCCAGCAGCCTTTGGGCCTCTATACCCCCAGCCCCTGGGCCCAAGAGGAATGCCAGGAGGCGAAGAAAATAGTGTAGGCGGGTAGGATAGGAGAGGGCAGGCACTGCAGCCTGACATCGGGGCAGCTGGGACAGCATGCCAAGGAGGAAGGGACCTGGAGCTAGGCAGAGGGGAGAGGGCCCCAGAGGAGGCAACGGGGGCAGCAGAGGACCAAGCAGTCCCTCCAGGAAGCAGGTATCATTACCCCCGCGGCTAATTCTACACTGTCCCTCCAGCCAGGGCCAGAAGGGTACGAGGGAGTCATAAAGAGTATCATTGACACACACCATCTCCAGGAAACTGCCCCCATTTGGGCAACGCTCCCCACAGGGCCCAACATGACAGGGTGGGAAGGCACCAGCATCAGGGGTCGGACCCTGGCACACATGATGCACCCAGGCCTGGTTCTGTGGGGGCACTGCCTCTAGGCCCTCTTCCACACACATTCGTTCCACCCACAGCGTCTGATTCTCCAGGAAACAACCCCAGAAGAGCTCTGGGGTGAGGGGAATGGGAGGCAGGCCTTCTGGGCAACTGGTGGGTGGGGGGAGGAGGCTGGCACAGAGCCGCCTCACCAGGCCTCTGTTGGGTCTGGGTAGTGACATCAGGGAGAAATTACTGCAGATGACCTCCAGGAACTGTTCCGGGTACTGATCATGGCATGCCTGCAACCAAAACTGGGCGCTCACCTCTAGAGAGGTCACATACCACGCAGCTGTCTCACAGGTCACAGCCATGCTGGAAGGTGGGCGGGGAGTGGAGGGTTTGGCATGTTGACAGTACAGGTGGATGGAGAAATTGGAGATGCTGAAGGGTAAGTCAGTGTCTGATTCGTTGTAGCAGATTGTATCCATAGAGAGGGCTCGAGGTTCTCGAGAGTTGCTTCGGGCTGAATTCTGGGAGGCCCGGGGCAGTGGTACCCCAGTGCTCAAGCAGTGCAGGAGGGCAGGGGGTGGAGGTGGCATCCCAGATAGGAATCCCAATGCCTGGGCATCCCAGGATACATTATGTAGTACACCCCTGAGTACAGAAGAAGGATGTAAGATAGGATCAGTCAGTTCAGAGCCTCTAACCCTGCATCCAGAGTCATGTATTGGGTCGGGGATGAGGGGGAGGTAAATATGAACTTTGCCACAGGCTAGGTCCTCTGGGAGTCTAGGTATTGCTGAGAATGGTCCACAGGAGGCAGGCAGGTAGGGATGGGGCACAGTACTAAAAAAAAAAAATCCTACCACAACCTGAAGAAAACTGAGGCACAGCCCTCTCTGGATCTTTCCTGCCCACCTAGGCCAGGTTCTAGATAACTCAAAGACTACTGAGGAAAGGACTCATATAAAGCAACAAGCCTAGCAATGAGTGATGTCATCAGGCCTTTGGAGTGGGGGGGGGGGAGGGGGCAATCAGTCCCATTGTGGTACCATCCCTCTACACTATAGCCTCCAAGGCCTGGCTCCCTCAGCTTGTCTCCCTCAATCTCTCTCAGATCTGGTCTTTGGTTACTCACCAGAGGAGTAGCTGTCTCAAGTTACCTAGGATGGAGAAAGAAATGGAGATGACCCCACCACAACCCAACCCCCGCTCTTCCCACTACTGCCAATTTCTTCCCCACAAGCACTACTTACCCCCCATACACTGCCCACTGGCATCAAGTTCTGGTTGCCCCAGCATGGCAAAAACCTCATCCTTTAGGGAGTGAGTGACACGCAACAGTCCTCCCTGGAAGGCAGCATAGAGGGGAACCCCCACTGTACGAAGTAGGCCCATCCAAAGGGGTCCTTCAGCACCTGGCTCCTCAGGTGGTGGTATCAGGCCCAGGAGGCCCTGCAAAAGGCGGGCTGGTGTCTCTCCCCAGCCAGGGTCTGTGAAGTTGGTGTCAGCCACAGGAATCATCTGCAACAATGCCTGCCAACGAGTGCCCTCCAGCAACAGGAGAAGTGAAGGTAGCCAATCAGCGGCCAGATCACAGTCAGGGGGTCCATCCCGAGTACAGGGGGGCCGGGGAGGCACTGTGGACTCCTCAGGAAGCATGACATTCAGTAGCACCTCTGCCAGCCCACTTAGGGTGCCTGCCTGGTGACCCAGAAAATCCCGAGGTGTCTGCTCATGTCCCAGCAGTGCGAGGGTGTCCCCCAGTAGCTTGATCAGGGGTTCCCAGTCCCGGCTGCCCCTCAAGGTCACCAGGAAATCATGAAGCCGTAGTGCAGGGGGTCTTAGAGTTGGGGGTTCCTCTCCCCCCACATCTCTAGACTCTAAGCCTTCCAGAGTAGAAGAAACATTGTCTAGGAAGGCAGAGAACCGTGAACGACTGAAGAAGCTTGGTGGGACCATATCCAGAGCTCCTAAAAATGACCCCAGGAGAGAAATTACAGGGTCTGGGTCCTGGGACTCCACAGCGGCTGGGGTCACTGTGGGGGAAGAAAGCAGAGGTCACTGTCGCAGAAATGACTGGAGTCCAAGCTTGGGTCCAGCTTCAGCTGTCCCTATTCTCTCTGCTCAGAAAGGTAAAGAGTGGGGAAGATGAGGAAGTTATATTCTATCCTTGGCCCATAGGCAGGGATGGTCCGACATCCGATCCTTCCTGTTCTCCCATTAATTGGCTCCTCTCTCCCTTATCCCTGGTTTATCTGTTCCTCTCCCCTTTCACCTTCAACCCTTTGAATTAATTCAACAAACATATTGAGTTCCATCGATAGTCCCTCCCCACAGACTTTCCCCATCCACTCCCCACCTTATCCTCTACACCCCCCCACCCCCCACCCCCCTTCACCTGCATGGTGAAGGAGCCGCAGCAACATCAGGAACAGCAAGGGCCAGAGGCTCAGAGCCATGTTTCAAGGTGAGCATTAAGATGTTAGGAGGTCAATACGGGGCAGATGCTTTTCCTAGGGGGAGCTGAATGGGGACAGGATACAGTAGCCACGGACTCCAGTTATCAATACCACCCAAGCCCGCAGGAAAGAAGATCCGTCACCTAACCGATGGGTAACCTAACGTGGTGTCGTCACCTGAGCCTCTGATCACCTGATCCTGTGGTCATAAGGAAAGGTGGGAAAGGGGAGGTAGGCAGAGTGATGATAGGGAAGTCCAGAGCATCTTAGGAAGGGGCTAGAGGCAGAGCTGGAGGCGGGGAGGATCAGAGAGGTAGAAGAAGCAAGGGAGAGAGGGAGGTGGTCATGCAGGAGAGAGACAATGTAGTGAGAGGTAGCCAAGGGATAAGGAGCTGCAGAACCAGAGGTGAGAGCCTGACTGGAAAGGAGGGAGTGAGATGACTAGGAGAGAAGCTTGGAGACGTTAGGGAAGAAAAGGAACTGGGGTGTGAAGGAGTCACAGGAGATGGGAGATAAGGAGGGGGGAGTAGAGGCAAGGAGAAAGAGATGCGCGTCCAGAGATGCACCTCCTAATCAATCAATCAATAAGCTTTTATTAAGTGCCTACTATATGCCTGGCACTCTGCTAAGCAATGGGCATACAGAAAGAGGCAAAAGACAGTCCCTGCCCTCAAGGAACTTATGATCTATCGGAGAGACAGCATGCAAACAAATACATACAAAGGAATCTATGTACAAAATAGAAAGTTGAGAATGGGGCATTCCAGGAAGTTAGGAACAACATGGCAAAAGCCCAAACAGTACTGACCAAGATATGTGCAGGGAATTGTGAGATCTGGGAAGCTACCCTTCCACCTCTCTGTGCCTCTGACTCACAGCCAGGACTAGAAGCAGATGGGCAGTCACTTAGGGTCCAACAAGATGAGGGAGGGGACTAAAAAGGGAGGTGTATTAACTAGTACATAGTAGGTGTTTAAAAATTCATGTTGACTGATCAAAGGGATATTTCTCAAAATGACTATAGACTGCATGGGGTACTGCTCCCAGATAGCTCCGAATTGATCTTTCTAGCACCTGCCATTGCTGAATGATTCCAGCACAGCCTCTATGCTCATATATCATAGGATTGACCACCTGGGCTGGCACAAACTCACGTGAATTTTCAAGAGTGAGAAATACCAAGGTTAAAACACAGAGAAGCCATCTATAGTCGTATGAAAAAATGCTCTAAATCACTATTGATTAGAGAGGTGCAAATCAAAGCAACTCTGCGGTACCACATCACACCTACCAGATTGGCCAACGTGACAGAACAGGAAAACGATAAATGTTGGAGAAGGTGTGGGAAAATTGGAACACTAGTGCATTGTTGGTGGAGTTGTGAAATGATCCCACCATTTTGGAGAGCAGTTTGGAACTATGCTCAAAGGGCTATAAAAATGTGCATACCCTTTGACCCAGCAATAGCATTTCTAGAGCTGTATCCCAAAGAGATCATAGAAATGGGAAAACGATCCACATGTACAAAAATATTCATAGCAGCTCTTTTTGTGGTGGCAAAGAATTGGAAATTGAGAGGATACCCATCAATTGGGGAATGGCTGAGTAAGTTGTGGTATATGAATGTAATAGAATACTATCGTCCTATAAGAAATGATGAACAGGCTGACTTCAGAAAAACCTGGAAAGACTCGTATGGCCTGATGCTGAGTGAAGTGAGCAGAACCAAGAGAACATTGTACACAATAACAGCCACATTGTGCGATGACTAATATTGATAAACTTAACCCTTCCCAGCAATACAAGGATCTAAGACATCTCCAAAGGCCTCGTGGTGGAAAATGCTATCCACATCCAAAGAAAGAACTGAATGCAGATCAAAGCATACTATTTGTTATTTTTTTCTCTTCTGTTGAGTTTTGTTTCCTCTTTCTGGTGGTTCCTCCTATTGGTTCTAATTTTTACTTATATGTCATTGATGTGAAAATATGTTTAATAGGAATGTATATGTATAGTCTATATCAGATTGTGTGCTGTCTTGGGGAGGAGGGTGGTGGGGAGGAAGGGAGAGAAAAATTTTAAACTCAAAAGCACATGGAAGCGACTGTTGATAAATCAAAATAAATTAATTTTTAAAAAAAGCAGGGAAAAAGAAGATGGAAGTGGCCAGAAGGAGTGGGAATGGGGGAAGAAGAAAAGAAGGTGGGGGAAGGGATTGGACTTTTTATTTTAAGAAGATAGAGAAGCAACTAAGTAGTGCAATAGATAGATCACTAGCCCTGAAGTCAGGAGGACCTGAGTTCAAATTCAACCTCAGATATTTAAGAGCTGTGTGATCTGGACAAGTCACTTAACTCCTATTTTCTTACCCCCCCCAAAAAAAGATGAAAGTAGCGATGCTACTATGTCACTATCTGACATGTCTCTACAGAAGGGATACCATTTGGCCTACATCTCATCCTTTGGGAGTGTTATTGTTATTGACATTTTCCCATTCTTGCCAATGATAGACAATGGGCCTGTGCTTGTGGCCAACCAATGAAACCTTTCCCACACTTGCTAATGCCAACCCAAAGCCCTAATGTAGTCACAAAACACCTGACACCTCCCCCTTTCTGGCACGATGCTGTCGCTGCTGGACTTTGCAGAACTCATCATCTAGTGGCTAGCCTGGGAATCAAGATGGAGCCCCTTCTGTGGCCATCTGTGAGAAGTGCTCCTATAATTACCCCTGCCCCAAAGACTGATAGTGGTTCTAGCACAGCAACTGAAACCAAGACTCACAGGACTTGAGGTCCTATTATCAAGTGCTAGGAGTCAGCAGCTCAAAGAGTGGTGGTCTAGGATGGTGAATATGTGCAGCATTTAATACTATTTGTCATTTGATGCTTTTCCTTAAGTTAAATTTTATTTTTTTCAGTTAGCAAATATCTGCCCTCACTCCTCTCCTGACCCACTCTTGAAAATGAAAGAAAAAAAAAATCTTGCTATTAACACATATGATAAAGCAAAACAAAATTCCATGTTGGCCATAGCTAAAATTAAAATATGTGTATGTGAGCATGTATACATATACATGTATATACATACATATACATATGTATATGTATGTATGTGTATATACATGTATATGTGTGTATGTGTGTGCATATACATGTATATACACATACATGTGTGCGTATACATGTATATACACCTATGTGAGTGCATATACACATACATACACACAAACACAAACAAATGCATGTATCTAAAGAGAGCTCTGGGCTTGAATTCAGGAAGACTTGACTTCATTTTTGGCCTCCGATACTTACTAAGTATGTGATCCTGGGTAATGCATTTAACCTCTGTTTGCCTCAGCATCCTCGACTATAAAATGGGAATAATAATAGAACCTATTTCCCACGTTCGTAGTGAGGATCAAAAGGGATATCTGCAAAACACTGAGCACAGTGCACAGCACATGGTAGGCACTTAATTAATGCTTGTTTCCTTCTTTCCTTTCTTTCTTCCTTCTTTACTTCCTTTCTTCATTATAATGCAAGCAGTTATTATTTTTTGTTCATGTTTACATTTTTTATAATTCTCTTAACTCACCAGCCCTGAAGTCAGGAGGACCTGAGTTCAAATCTGGCCTCAGACCAAACACTTGACACTTACTAGCTGTGTGACCCTGGGCAAGTCACTTAACCCCAATTGCAAAAAAAAAAAAGACTATAGTTCTCTTAACTCCTGTGTTTGAACTTCAACATTTCTACTCAGCTCTGGCCTTTTCATAAGGAATGTTTGTTGTTGTTCAATAGTTTCAGTCATGTCTGACTCTTTGTGACTCCATTTGGGGTTGCCCTTTCCTTTTCCAGCTCATTTTACAGATGAGGAACTGAGGCAAACAGGGTGAAGTGACTTGCCCAAGGTCACACAGCTAGTAATTGTCTGAGGCCAGATTTGAACTCATGAAGATGAGTCTTCCTAACTTCAGGGCTGGTACTCTGTGCACTATGGCACCACTTAGCTGCCCCACAAATGCTTAGAAGTCCTCTATTTCAGTAAAAATCTCATTTCCCCTGTAGGATAATACTCAGTTTTTCTGAGTAAGCTATTCTTGACTGCAAACCTATATCCTTTGCCTTCTGTAATATATTCTAAGCTCTCTACCCCTTTAGAGTGGTGGCTGCTAAATTATATGCGATCCTGACTGTGGCTCCTTGGTACTTGAATTCTTTCTTTCTGATTGCTTGCAGTATTTTTTCTTTGACCTGAAAGCCTGGATTTAGGCTATAATGTTTCTGGGAGTTTTTATTTGGAGTTTCAGGCGGTGACTGGAGGAGACTTCCTATTTCTACTTTGTAGAGGTTCTAAGAGGTCAGTTTTCTTTTAAGATTTCTTCAAATGTGATGTGTAGGCTCTTTTTTGTCTATTTTGTCTTTTTTTTTTTTAGTCCTGGCTTTCAGGTAGTCCAACAATTCTTAATTTTTTCCTCCTCGATATGAAGTCAATTGTTTTACATTTAATTTTATTTTTCCAGTCTTTTGACTTAAGTGACTAGGCAACAATTTCTTATAGTCTCATAGAGTCTTTGGCAAAGTGCACAGAGCATTGAGCCTGGAGACAGGAAGACCAGAATTCAAATCCACGACCTGAGGCAAGATACTTAACCTCTGTTTGCCTCAGCTTCCTCAGCTGTAAAATGGGGATAATAATAGCACCTACTTCACATGGTTATTACAAGGTTCAAATGAAATTATATTGCAAAGTGCTTAGCATAATACCTGGCACATAGTAGATGCTATTAAATGCTAGTTATTGTTGTTTTTTGATCCATTCTAATTTTCAGGAAATTTGTTGCTCGGGCAAGGTTTTGTACCTCTTATGCCAAACTTTTAATTCCCTTTCAAATTCTTTCTTCCACAGCTCTCATTTCTTTTCCAATTTTTTTTTCTGATATTCTCATTTTATTCCCCCCCCGCAACTTAATAGTATTTTTTTCAATTACATGCAAA